TTGCTTCTGGAGCATCTAGCTCGGAATTCCAGAGTTATTTGCTCTAAAAGAAATCGAGCATATCATGTTAGTTTTGCACCTTTTTACAATCCTTTTTTTATGTATCGAAGACGAGCGCCTACCCATCAGATATTCTGCTCTAGTCACTCGGTAATAAACACCTATCAAGGAGAAAAAAGCAGTTTATTAATGTGTTTGGAGAATAGTGATTGGCATTGAGATTGCAAGAAAAGACCGGAAACCTGGTTGAGGCAAAATAATCCTCAATCCTGGCTCAGACGCAGGTAGAGTTTTCAAACTTTTTTACTTTATCATTATTTATAAATTATTCCTCGCAAAGCTTCAGGGGAGGCCTTCCTATTGTCCTTCTCTTTCATTATTTAGGGATGAACAACTTTATCCTCAAAGACTTGCAGCCTTGCAATTGAATTTTTCTCGGTGTGAGAAAAAACAATCCTGCCACTGAACCCCTGCATTCCCAGTTTGTTTGAAAATAATAATTATTTTGTAATAATAGTCTTTTCTAAAAAATGTTTATTTATTTTTGAGACAGAGAGAGAGAGAGAGAGAACAGGGGAGGAGCAGAGAGAGAGGGAGACACAGAATCAGAAGCAGGCTCCAGGCTCTGAGCTGTCAGCACAGAGCCCAATGCGGGGCTCGAACTCATGAATTGTGAGATCGTGACCTAAGCTGAAACCAGGAATCGGACACTCAACTGACTGAGCCACTCAGGCGCCCTGAAAAATCATTATTTTTACTGCTACTAGAAGGCGAATACTTTTTGTAATCTCTGTTTTAGACAAATAGGTAGTACTTAATTTACAAATACCGCATTCTGCATCCAACGGCTTCTCTAGTGGAAGCCTCCTGTCTTCTTAGATTATTTTCTTTCTACAGCCACTCCGTCTGTTTCTGAAACATTGCCCTTCCTAATCCTTCAGGCCTGACCTGGCTCTACGTCTGTCCCTCAGGCTTTGAAGCACTAACACCGGTCACAGAAACACTCTGCACCCTGAGGGAAATGAATAGAGAAAAGAACTAGAATCGACAGATTCTAGAGCCTCATTGATAACACTGCCCTTCTTTCCTCCAAAGTAGCTAATGTATTAAGACCATCTACAAACCGAGTCAGTGAATTATGTTTTCTGACGCTGCCCCATCTATTAATTGATTTATCCAATTACAGTGTACTGACCGTCTGCTACACTATATAGTGTATACTGCAACACTATAAATACTGTAAATCCCTACAAGGTCTGGACCAAGACAGAGAATAAGCAAGAGTGCAGACCAAAACCCAGATAAGTAACCAACCTAACTAAAGAGAACACAGAAGACACTGGGGAAACAATCAAATAGCACATGGACCCTCCTTCAAGCAAATCACAGTTTATTTATTTATTTTTTAATGTTTTATTTATTTCTAGGAGAGAGAGAGAGAGACAGCGTGAGCAGGGGAGGGTCAGAGAGAGAGGGAGATACAGACTGTGAAACAGATTCCAGGCTCTGAGCTGGCAGTCAGCACAGAGCCCGACGCCGGGGCTCGAACCTACGAACCGTGAGATTGTGACCTAAGCGAAAGTCGGATGCTTAACCGACTAAGCCACCCAGGCGCCCCATAGCAAATCACAGTTTAGTAGAGAGGCCCACTGAGTAAATCATCATATGACACTTGCTAATTGCTAGCACTGTGCACAGGTATTACTGGCATGCAGAGCTGGGAGGGTGACCAATGGAAGTTGTCCAAAGGAGATGACATTTTAGTTTTTGTTTCATTTTGAACAGTACTATGTTTTTATACCACGAGTACACATATAATTGTCCTTAAACCATAGATTGTTCTACTTTGCATGTTTCAATGTTCTTTATAAATATAGTGAATAAATCCTAATGAAGTTTCCTTTTTTCCACTCGCCACTGTGTGTTGAGAGTTATCTGTGTTATGACATACGGCTTTAGTTCATTTATTTTAATGGCTACACAGTATTCTATCATATGTGTATCACATATTTACCCAACTTGACCGGTGACCATTGGATTTGTTTCTACCCTTTGTGGCTTTGGGATTGTTGCCTTCGTTGAACAGAGATTTTTTTTTTTAATTTTTAAATGTTTATTTATTTATTTTTGAGAGAGACAGAAAAAGCAGGGTAAGTGCAGACAGAGAGGGAGACAGAATCGCAAGCAGTCTCTGTACCATCAGCACAGAGCCCGATGCAGGGCTTAAACCCACAAACCACGAGATCATGACCTGAGCTGAAACCAAGAATCAGACGCTGAACCGACTGAGCCACCCAGGCACCCCTGAACAGAGATTTTTAATTCTAATTCAGTTAAATATATCAATCTTTTATGGCTCATGCTTTTTGTGCTTATTGAAGAAATCTTTTTCAACCCTTAAGTCCATAAGGATATTCTCCTCTAAATTTTTTCTAAAAATTATAGTTCCTTTTACATATTTAAGGCTCTGCATATGTCTACACACACTTGCACGTGTCTGTATGCTCGCTCCTCTGTATCTCTGGCCTTCGACCACCTGGCCCCTTGGGCTCCAGTCTAGAAATAGGTCTGGTCCCTGAGCCAGAAGTAGTCTTGGTTTAGTTCCGGGTCAGAAGGCAGTGTCTCCCTCTCCCGGGTCCCCTAGTTTTCTAAGCAATATGCCTCCGGATGAGAGTACAGCACAGCCCGTTGCTTCTCAGTCTCACTGCCGTGTTCTGCCTGGGAGAACTGAGATGCTTCCGGTCCTGTCACTCTCTCGTTTGGATCCATAAAGATATGTCTCTTGCTTTGAAGCCTTGGTATTTCTTTTTCTTTCTCTCTCTCTTTTTTAATAATATTTTTCCTCCTATTTCTCTGTGTTTGTAGAATAAATTGCCCATCGGGGCATAAACTTACTGAACCTTGACTCCTTAATTCTCTGTATGACAGATTTGAGATAGGAGTAGCAATGAACTACACAGCAGAGGGTGTTGAAAAAAGGAAACTGTAGAGAAGAAGAAAAGTATGTGATGTGCAGAGACCAGAATGAGAAGGAGGGTTTTGGAAACTGGGAGCAGGCTGGTGTGAGGGTAACAGAGGCAACCTGAGGGAGAGGGCGGGAGAAAGCCCCGAGACAGGTGCGCCATGATCGGCCAGCCCAGCAGTCACCACTTCCCCGAAACCACACAAACCACCTAAAGAACAGAACACCGAAGAAGAAAGAAATATGAAGAAAGAAAACAGAATGAGTCTATAGAAAACATTACAGATTTCAACAATTCAGTGAGTGCAGTGTGCTAGACATTCTATGTCTGTCGTAGAATCAAGAAAACTGAGGCTCAAGGGATTTAAGTGATGGGCCAGAACTGAAATCCAAATCCTCTTCCGCCCTGTTCCCTTGTTCTTTTATAGCAACCACAATGAAGAGCAGACACACATACGGTAAAAAGCCTGCCAACCAGGAATGCATCTCAACCAAAGCAATACAATCAGAAACAATTTGAATAGAGATCAATATCTTTGACACTCCTTGGTTTCACTTTTATGTTTTTCTCCTACTTGTCTCTTATTCTGGGCTCTGAACCTAAATTCATAAATAGTTCATTATACTTGTTTACCTATGATACAAAAGACTGATAAGGTTCAATGTTCTAGCTACCCCCTAAATTTGCGTTTTTACTCTAACAAAGGAAATAACTTCTACCTATACAAGTTCTGCGTAACACTGGCCTACAGAGCATATGTATTAGAGGCAAAACTCCTTACCAATGTTCCCTAAATCACATGACTTAGACAACTTTATGCTCCTACATATAAGAATCAAATTGCCTTTGGGGCGCCTAGGTAGCTCAGTCGGTTAAGCGGCCAACTTCAGCTCAGGTCATGATCTCATGGTCGGTGAGTTCAAGCCCCGTGTCGGGCTCTGTACTGACAGCTCAGAGCCTGGAGCCTGCTTCAGATTCTGCGTCTCCCTCTCTCTCTGCCCCTCCCCTGCTCAAGTTCTGTCTCTCTTGGTCTCAAAAATAAATAAAGGTTAAAAAATTTAAAAAAAAAAAAAGAATCAAATTGCCTTTGTAACAGTGAAGTTTTGAACTCCTTTAACTCAATTACAAGTGTCTCACATAAGAAGGCAGTATCTCCCTGTTAACAAAACTACTTAGAGTTTACATGTAATTCTATAATGATTATTCATTTACTCAACAAATATTCCAAATGAATAGGTTAATACTAATTATTATAAAGTGAAAATAGTATTTAAGGATGCATGCTAGAAAAATGTGACCTTGATCAAATCACACTTATTTCTGAAATTCAAGCACGCTGTAACTTGCTTACAAAAACAGAATAATAAATAAGACAAAGACAGACCAGTTATCTCAAATGACAAAGGGTAAACTTGACCTTACTTTTGCTGAATTTATACATTTTTGTTCTTTCCATTCTCTTGTATCAATCTGAGCTCTATTTGAGTAATTATGTGATTCTCTTTCCTTTCTCAAAGGAGAGCTTGAATGACTGATTCCCCACACTCTTACTGCTTTCTATAATCCTTATGTCCCTGGGCAGGAGGAGGGGAAGTTCTTAGAAACCTCATTTAATAAGATGGTCTATCTTCTTAAGTCATACAAGAGCAATGTAAAACCCTCCACCTAAAATATAAGTCTTCTATCTATTCTCCAATCCATAATGTAGAGAGAGAGGTGGCTTCATTTGAACTGTAAGTCATGATCAGTCTTCTAGATTCTTAAAGAAAAATAAATACTGTTTCTCTGTAATGATAGAGAAGTCTAGTTCCTTTAAGCAAACTTTTAATTGCTGCTGCTATTTTCCTTTGATATTAACAAACAATGATTGAACCAAGAACCAAATTGGAGTTTTGCAAATGTGCGCTCATCACATATATCATACTTGCTGCAAGATTTTAAGAGCATACTGCAGACTTTGAAAACGGTTCACCTAAATAGTTTTGAGTGGAGAATATAGGGTGCAGACGTGGTAAGCTATGCTCTTTCTTTCCCCAGGTTTTCAGGGTGTGGGATATACAGACTCTTTCACTACTACAAGTCTTCCACGACAGCCAGGGAGGGCCAGGAGACATGCAGATTTATTCTATGGTATATGACTCCAATAATGGCATGCTTATTACAGGTAAGTGTACCCAGTGAATGGCAGCCAAAACTCTTGGCTTTTAGCCTTTTTTTAACTAGCACTTGAAGAAAACTAGCTAGAAGAAAAGCAAAAGTAGAAGGGGAATGTGCAAACTGTGATTCATCACAGTAGGTTTCTTTTTTAGAAAGAGAGAGAGAGAACATGAGTGGGGAGGAGGGGCAGAGGGAGGGAGAAAGAGAAAGAGTGAATTGTAATCAGGCTCCATTCTCAGTGCACAGCCCAACTCCTACAACTGCGAGATCATGACCTGAGCTGAAATCAAAAGTCGGACATCCAACCAACTCAGCCACCCAGGTGCCCCAATCACAGTAGATATTTAATTCAGTTCCACCCAGTCCTGTCTTTCCATGGCTGGGTAGATAAAACATATGACTGCACTTCCTCAAAAAGACCAGGTCAGTGCTCTAAGTTCTTGAGTCTAGGATGATGGCTTGGGTTAAGCAAGAAGTGAGATGTGATGTGTTGCTACATAGAGGGCAAGCCAGGTCTGTTTTGACTCTCGGGAGCTGGAATGTGATCCTTCTTGGAGTGGCTGCACCAGCATGCTGAACCAATGCTCCCTTTGGTCAGTGAAGCAATTTGACCCCTATGCATTCTGGTGCTGAGACAGTTAGTTAGAAGGTGCCGACCCTCCCACCTGCCTTTGCTTCTAGACAATGAAGTGGAGAGAGAGGATACAATACCAAATAACAGATACCCAGTGCTGACACCAACAGATTGGTTTGCTTTTCTTGTTGTCTCTTAAAACAAACAAACAAACAAAAATGCTTCCTAAAGTCACGAAAGATTCTGCTAAGGTATTGAGGTTAAATGTTATTCACATGCATGCCTTCTGGCTTTGGAAGAAAAAATACACGATATTAACTGTACTTCTTCCTTCTGGAACACCAACTCTGAATGCATTTCCTAAGCATTTTCCCACTGACCACCTGTTCTGAGTTCCAGTGGGATTAATTAGAGCAGGGAAATTGTTGCTGCTATCTCTGTCGGTGGAGAATATAATTATTTTTTAACTCTGAGGTCTTTTTTCCAAACTGGCACTTCATACTTGATAGGCAATTTTCTACCTTGTAAAACAACTTAATTCTAGGTATAAGCACTCCTCCTCTTTATTATCTCCTCTGAAAATAACATGCCAATAACTGTAAGCATATTCTCCTGGTATCCCAACTTGCATGTTTGATTAGTGGGCTCAGCATTTCCAACCCATTTATCATCAGGGTAGCTAAGGACTCAAGCATCAAGACAAAAGAAGGAAGAGGAAGAGGAGGTAGAGAAAATCAAGATTGCGTCCCAGTTTTATGTAATCCTGACAATACTTAGCCTACAAAAATATAGAGTTCTGCGTATTGCTTACATGGACTGCAACCATCAACTTGACATCAGAATTACATGAAGCTTATCTCTCAGATTCTATTTTATGCTTTCATATGAAGCTGCCGTAGTAACCTCCTAAACCCCAAGGACAGCAGCACCACATTCTGGAAATGTTTTGTAGAATATACTGTTGTTAACTGTCATGTTGTTGTTTTTATTATTCCTCTGTCAATACGACTACCTTTTGTAAAGTTCTTTTGCAAAGTGCTATCATGTGCTTTCTTCATTTGACCTGTACAACCACATCCCTGAGGTAGGAATTATTACTTATCCTATTTTATAAATGACAAACCAAATATTCAACAGTTCAATTGGCTAGTTTTAAAACACAGGTTAAAAGGTAGAGCTGGGATTCAATCCCACAGTTTCTGGCTCCTGAAACCGCATTCTTTCTCTCTAACTGCATTGTTTGCATAGCCCAAACCACTGGTTCATTAGCATAAATAAAGTTAGTCACAATATAAAGTTAAATGATCGACCAAAAAGCTCTGAGTGTTGGTTATTTGGTTACCATATTCCTCTCACATGTCCACATTGGGATATTTGAACTGAGAAATATTACCAGAAAAGCCTTTTAAGTCCTTCTTTACACACGAACAGAATTTATCTTAAAATTTAAGCACCTTATGAAAGTGCTTAGTAACTCCTGCTGAACCTTTTCCTACACGTGTGATTGCAAAGTCATGAGAAACCCAATACAAAGGGTTGAACTTTGGTAATTTACTCTCCACATCGATAAAACAGAGAAGTTTCTTTTTGTTTGATCTTTGAAATGCTTTGAGATTCTTATTTCTATTTCTGGGCGTTACACTGAAACAGATTACATGGCTGATTTCGAGAGTTAGATCATATTTGCCATTTGCAGTCTTCCTGTAAAACCAAAACAGCCCCCTTAGGAAAATGCAAATAAGAAATATCTGCTCTCCATCTACTTCCCCGTGGTCATTTGGAAATTAATTGTATTTAATATTGATGTTGTAAGCACTGGCTGGCGACCGTTCTTTCATTACATTTAATAAGAATGTGTTTACAGAGTGCTTTATCATTTGTTGGTTGGAAAAGACTAACAATAAATTCCGATCACTAAATGGAAGTTTACCTTCAGCAGAAAGCTGACCATCACTGTGATTACTCTACACCAGATGGAGAGGCATGTGGTAGACTCTCTAAAAAAGGAAAATAGTAGACTATAAAATTAATAGAAAAATGGGGATCATTGACAATAGGGTATCAACGAATCCAAATCGCCCACACTTGAAAATTAATGAAGCCTTCAATGAATGCTTTTCTCTTGCTGAATAACATTGGCTTTATTTGTCAAAAATGTTTTAGAGAAAAAGAATGTGTCTTCACCTCATTAAATATCCTAGGAACTGATATTACGAATCCCACTGATTGGTCCTTTCCAAACACGGCTGATTGGGTAAACTCCTTTGTGATTCAAAACTTCTAATATTGGGTATTTGTTAAATACTTATTTCTGTTCTAGGATCTAGTGTCATGGACATGTATCCTCTGACGAGGATGGTACAAGATACAAAACAGATTCCTCACACTCATGAACGAGAGATCAATGTCATGCTTTACAATGGATATTTTCACCAAGTCCTTACTATCTGTTCTGAATCCATAATCAAGGTGAGTACAAATTGGCTCTTCAAAGAGAAAAGTCAGAGCTAACAGAATTTTCTCTTTTTACAGGTAAGTCTTTGGGTAATTAAGTAAATGTAGTAGTGCATTTAATGAGACTCGATAGTAGAGCTATTTTTAAGCATTCACGCACACATGAAAACAAGTATTTTAAGCCAGCTCAGACAGCTTGCTATTTGCTTTCAAGAGAGAGTGTACATGAGCAGGGGAGGGGAAGAGGGAAGGAGAGGATCTTAAGCAGGCTTCGTGCTCCGTGCAACACCCCACTCGGGGCTCAATTCCACGACTGTGAGATCACAACCTGAGCTGAAATTAAGAGTCTGACACTCAACCAAATGAGCCACCCAAGCACATCTAGACTTTTTATTAAGCCATACACTGAATTAAATATATAAAGCTAGTTTTTACTATCAGAATAGAAATTTTAAAGGAAATATATCAAGGAAAGACAACCAGGATAGACGATAGATAGATAGATAGATAGATAGATAGATAGACAGATGATAGATAGATAGATAGATAGATAGATAGATAGATAGATGATTGATAGATAGGTAAATAGATGATAGATAATTTTTAAATCTGAGCTATGTGAAGAAGATATGTTAAGAAGGAAAGGAAAGAAATTTATAATGTTTACTGTGACTCCTATAGGTCCAGGATGTATACCAAGTACCTCAAACCTATGAGCTTATTTAATCTCCATGCTGGTTCTTGGTGGACATATAAAAGTTTCCATTTTAAATATGAGGAAACTAGGACTCATGGCAATCAAGCAACTTGCCCCAGATCGTATGACTAGTAAGCATCGTAGCTAGGATATGAACCCAGGTTTTCCTGATGTAGATACCTATGTCTGTTTCTCTGCATTCCTCTGCCCTGTCATTAAAGGGTTCCCCAGAGGCCAGGGTACGTAGCCATCCTGAGTGCACCTGTAACGACAACCACTGAAGCCATCCGGCAGTGATGGCTGGCAGTGGTCACTTCAGAGTGTTGTCCTTTCATTTCATGCACACCTTCCAAAAGGAGAGAGCTCGAGCAGTAGAGAGCATCCTCTGGGGACCCTTTCAGTTCCTTCTCAATCATTGATCTTCTATGCTCTTCTGCTGGAGACTTTCTCGGGTCAAAATCTCCTGAGTTCACTTAATTACCAACTGTTTCTGATATTGCCTGCAGAATAAGTAGAGGAAAACTAAAACTAGGGGGGAAAGTCTTCTCTGTAAGAGGAGAAGTAGGGGAAGGAATGCATCTAGGTGAGTTTTCATTATGATTGATTGGTTGAAGAGCAATCCTACTTCAGGCCAGGAAATGGGTGATGTCTGAAACGTGTTCATGCAGCATCTTTCATTTCTCCCTTGAGGACTCTCTCTAGACTTGGGACCACTCAGAGGCTGACACTGTGGGCTCTGGGGCCAGACTGTCCTCATTCAGATCAGTCGATGGCCCTTGGTTGGTTACCTGGCCTCCAGAAGATTCCATTGAGCTCCATTTGGTCCCTCTCCTTCTTCCAGCTGCAATACCTGTCTCTCAGCTGTTCTGGAGGGACAATGTACCTTCCCATCCCTGGCCCTTTGCTTATGCTGCCCTGTCCCCAAATACCTCGAGGGCCACCACTCTGTGGGGTCTGTTTTATTACTCACTGACAGACTAGTTTACACGTTAGCACGGCAGATCCATGAAGAAGGAGAGATTTAGACCAAAGGCTGGAGGTCTAGAGCCTCTCCTTTGTTTCCAAAGAGTGATACTGACGTGTCTTGACTTGCTTCTGGATTTTTCAATCACACCCAGCCTGATTACACAGACAGCTTTCTCTGAAGTCTTTCTCTGTCTCTAAGAGCCAGGCCCACGTCCCTAATCAGAACACTTCTTGGAAAGGTCAGTGAGCTTCTTCCACAGGGTTCTATTAGATTCCATGTGTTAACCACAGATTCTGGGTCCTGTGACCCCTGGCTATTTTGGATGAATGTCAACAGGGAATAAATCCAGTTTGACTGCTTTGTCTGTTATACTCATAATTGTTACATTTCTATCTTGCTGTGAATCTTGCTTCGTGCTTACAGTCGCAAAATTGACTACTTCCTCCACAGCCAGGGCTGCCTGGAATAGTTACTGCCTGTCTCAGCCACCTGCGTGCACAGCAGACATGGTCCAGAGTAGCACAGTAACTACTAGACAGCAACGCATCTTTGAGAACTTTGTTTGATCCAACCAACATTCAGAGCGGAATGTTGGGAAAGAGTTTAGAAGTGCAGAGTACCAATTTTGAGGCTTTTTGAATGTTGTAAAAAATTTTAATAACTGAAGGGTATATGGATAATTTTATTTTGTTGTTGATGTTGTCCTTGTTCTTTCCTACAGGTATGGGAACTCGAGACTGGCCTCCAAATATACCAGATTTTAGACCCTCATGGCTTCAGTGTTGAACTGACTTCTGCAGCTATTGATGAAAGTGGATTTCTTTTTGCCACAGGAGCCCATAACGGTCAGACTCATATCCAGAATGTTGCCTCCCTGGTTTAGTGTCCTGAGAATTTGTGCTAGGAGCTCATTTGTTGTGTGGGGTGGAGAGAGCACAAATCAGGCTGGAATGAGTCAGCATGCCAGACAGAGTGCTCACTGAGCAGCAGCAGACTCTTCTCTAATGAGCACCAAAATCCTTTGTCAATACCTGACATCACATTTATATTATTGCTTTAAGGTTTACAAAAGTCCTTCACACATAGCTCATTCTATCCCTCGTGGGACTTATTTGTGTTGCGTTGACTCCTTTTGCCCTTTTAGTTTGGGTATGGACATTAGAGAGATGGACATTAGATTTATGGCTGGCTGATAATATTTTTACTGACAGTAGACTTGAGGGTCAGACAAAAATCCAGTCAACTTTTTTATAAAATACCCAGAATTCTCTATTGGATTTGATTATAAGTCTAAGCTCCTTAGGAACACACACCAGGTCACACTTGGCAGCAGATGTCAGTCTCTGGTGGTATTAGGTCACTTGCTGCTCCTCATGCTATCTATTGAGCACTGGATAGAACCTTCTGGAACTAAGCACTCCATTCACCTCACCTATCATGTCACCTTGGTCTGACTTCACACAACAGAACTACTTTATCTAGACCATGTGGTCAACTTGTATGCGCTACTCATGGTTTATTGATTCTAGAGATATATGTACTAAAGAAATCCTTGCTTGTAAGCCTGGAGATCCGTGTACATGCTGATGTGAAAGTCTGATTTTTTAAATTGTGACAGACAACAATACACATGAAATAAAACCACGAATGCTAAGTGCAGGAGTGTGAATTGGTGCGACTGCTCTGCGTGTGGACAATTCTTAAGAAAACAGTCTTTCTGCTCTATAAGCACACCTACGTACATAGGAAAATTAGTTAAAATAGAAACTCTGAGCAATGTATACAACTATTTTCAGGCGTAAGCATTAGCAATTTATATGGGTGCGACTAAGTTAGTATTACTTTCAGGCCAGTAAGTCATATTTCATTGTTAGTGCTAGAGTGGAGACTTTCTTCAAACATGGGCAGTTTGTCCTCTGCAGAGTAATCGTCAAAGGTGCGGAAACAGCCTTGGACACCTTGGGAAGCAGGATCCTCTGGCTCCTGGGGCAGCTCTGCTCAAGCCAGCAGGCCCCCCTCATTCCCATCGACACACCACCTGAGCTGAGCAGGACCTCTCCTGGTTCTCTGTGTATCCATTAAATTTGACTCCTGAAGTCCCAAAGTAGCAGGAAATCTGGGCCATGAGACTGTGGTCCAAGTATCCAGGACTGGATGGGAGCATTCCTTCTTTTACTTGTTTGTATGACTGTGTTCCTCCAAGATCATAAAGTCCTTGAGGGCAGGAACGATGCCTCTTCACTTTTTATTCCCAGCTCCTCGCACAGTGCTGAATATAGGGAGAATTTAGTCGGTGTTTAATGATGTTGTTAGTGAGTAAACATATGGTAGGAGTTGTGAGTGTTGCTGATAGAGGGAACCTGGCATAAGGGGAGAAAAACAACACAGAACATTCCAGGTGTCCAGCGGGAGTAGAGCTGGGGAATAAGAAGCAGGAGCCAGGGTGAGATTAGGGTTACCCCAGGGGAGGGTACCCAGTCCCGTGGGGGGCTGTCCACTGGATTCTAAGCCTGAGGCGACCCCAAGAAAAGCCCACACAAGATGATTCCTACAGGAAGTGATGACCTAGCAACAGGCATTCAACATCCACACTGTTTATCAAGCCTCCTGGCCCCTTCATCAAGCTCCCCTAAATCAAATGACCCAAGTTAATGACAAAGAAAATAAGATTTCAGATGTAAGAAGAAACTCAGCACCCCTTTTGCATTCCCTTCACATGTAACCAATAAAACAATTCAAAGCTTGATAGATTCTTACCTGCTGGAATTCTCTTAAACTTATTATTGCCCAGTAAGAGCTAAAGTCTTTGAACATATCAGCACCTTAGGAAATTGACATTATTGGACTGATATTTTACTACAGCTGACTATTGTGGCACAATATTAGATAAATAGGAAGATATTGGAGGCTATTTAGCAAACCGAAGGACTTTGGGACAATGAGGGCAGAAAGATCCACTTCATACAGAAAGCTCAGCTAGGAGAGGCTGAGTGTTTCAAAGAAAGCTGTCACAAATTTCAAAACATTGCCTAGTCCTGCTAATTTTTATTAGCCTGTGACAAATCAAGGCATACAGGGGTTCATTTTGTGCATAGTAACGCTAAGGAGACTCACACGTTACAGTAGGAAATAAACATAGGATAAATGGTTGGCAGAAAGCTTTCAATTAGATCAATTTTTTAAAGTTTATTTATTTATTTTGAGAGAGAGAGAAAGCATGTGTGAGTGGGGGAGGGGCAGAGAGGGTGGGAGAGAGAGAACCCCAAGCAGACTCCCCGCTGTGGGCACAGAATCCTACACAGGGCTCGATGCCAGGAACCGTGAGATCATGACCTGAGCCAAAATCAAGAGTTGGACGCTTAACTGGCTGAGCCACCCAGGCACTCCTAGATCAACTTTGTCTGTGATAAAAGCCAAGCTTTCTATAAATTATTTTTATCTGCATAGTGTTTTTCCTGTGTGCTCAGGAACAGTTAAAATCTGGGACTTTGGCAGTGGGCAGGAGATGAAAACGTTGCCTGAAGGGAAAGACTGGAAGGAAGAAGAACACTGGCTAAGGCGCCTGATTTTCCTGAAAGCTCAGGAAAAACACCAGTACTTGATCCTTGCCTTGGAGCAAAACGGGAAGATCAAAATGATCCAGGTTTGCAATCCCAGTTTTATATTTGTACCCTACGTTCTCTCGTTGGGGAAATCAGCGGAACCTGTGGATGATCGCCATTTCACGCCTCTCTTACCAGTCATCTGAGGATAGCATTTCTCCACCAGTCTTCCTAGGAGGCTCCAATTAAGAGCATCCTTCCCCAAGTCCCAGCGAAGAACAAAAAAGAATAGATAATTGGCGGCAGCATCTCACCCAGCCAGCATTTGCTGAAGGATTAGTCAGGAGCCCCTGGAGCAGGTATCAAGGTGAAACCGACCCACAGCTGCCATCTCCGACATTGTTTATACCTCATCTGGGGATAATTCCCTGGTACAGTGCCCCCCAGCAGGCTCAGTGTAAGGGAGCAATGATTCCTCTGCGTCCTCAGAACTCATAACGCATTCAGGGATGCTCAAGTCCCTTTTTCAGTTTGTCACCAAAATTGCTTTGTTTACTTTAAGGTTAACGATGCAATCTGCTCAGGGCCATTTCGGAAGGCTTGCAGCAGGCTAATTTATTTTTGCGGCAGGCTATTACCACCTGAGAATGCTAATACCTTCTTCATATTTAAAATGAAGGCTAGCGCATTTATCCTGGGTACTGAGTGGATCTCTCTGCCTGGAACTTGAGGACTCATTGAATTTATTATTCCCCTTCTGAAAATTAAAGTCAGAAAAAAAATCTTAAATTAGGGCAGCCATCATGAAATTTCAGCATTGATTAATTAAGGTGACTGATGGCCCCGCTGCTGGAAAAAAAAAAAGGAGTGGAAAACATCCCTGATGCAAAATAGTCTTCCTATGTTGTGTGAGCACTCCAGACAGCACCGTAGAAAGGGTGTCTTCCTTATACACTCTACCACACGACAACACAAGGATTTCCCTTCTTTCACTTAGTACAACTGACCACGTGTATGCATTTCCTAACAGACAATGTCTATTATAAACAAGCCTTTTATATCCATTCCAAAAAAAAACCAAAACAAAAAACCAGCCTCGTGCTGTTCCCACGTCAAAACTGGTTTTGGTTTTATTGCAGCATTGTTCATTTTGATTATTCCGGTTCTCCATGTTCCAAAACCCCCTAGACTAAGCTTGATGAAGACTGAAAACCTCTCTTATTCACATTTGTATTCCTCCTCTGCCCTAAGCAGATGCTGATTAAGGATTGAGAGAATGAAGAAATATAAGAAACCTTTTATAAGATATGTAATAATTTGTATAAATCTCAAAAATATGATGTTACGTGAAGCAAGAAAGTTAAAGAATTCATATAGTTTGGGTAACATTTATAAATAGAAAGCAATATCATTATATACATACATGTATATATGTACAATAATATGTAATATGTGTATGTAGAATACACATGTAACTTTACGTCAAAATATTAAAACGTCCATAACTAACACTGTATTCAGGTGACTAATTACCTCTGCAGAAGGAAGAAGACACAGGAACTACACTAAAGAGATCTAGACAGGATTTAAGACTTGATAAAGCCAGGTTGAGGGGTACATCATTGTATGTTCTTTTTTCCTCTATACCTTTAAGAGAGCTCAAAATAAAAGAATGAATTGAATTTTTCATATACTCACTGTATTTCTCCTCAAGGGTAAGGAAGATGATATGTGCCTCATGGTAATATGGGAGTTGCCCAATGTCATGCCTATCATACAAAATGGGATTCACACTGTGCATCTGAGGACATCTCCCCAAAAAAGGAACATGGCTATTCCTTTCCCAGATGTTGAGTTGATAGAGAAAAACTTTCCTCAATGTGCTAATGTAAGTTTCATTTCTTCATTTTTTTCCTTTTTATGTTGGAAAATTATAAACATACAAAAGTAGAGAAAGCAAAACATGGAACTTCTTTTTTTTTTTTTAATTTTATTTTTTAGAGAGAGACAGCGTGAGCAGGGGAGGGTCAGAGAGAGAGGGAGATACAGAATCCAAAGACAGGCTCCAGGCTCTGAGCTGTCAGCACAGAGCCCGACGCGGGGCTCGAACCCACGAACCGTTAGATCACGACCTGAGCCGAAGTCGGACCCTTAACCGACTGAGCCACCCAGGCGCCCAATACGTTGAACTTCTATGTATAAACATGCAGCTTCAGAAATCATGCGTACGTGACCAAATATTGCTTGTTATTCCTACCACTTCCCGCAACCACCACAAAAGAATTATTTTGAAGCAAATCCCAGACATTGGGTCATTTCATTCCTAAATATTTCAGCATGTATCTCTACATGATAATGACAAAAAAATGGCAGGTCATGATTATTTTTCAAGAAATCTTCTAAAATAATTTTTAAGAAGCCCTTATTATCATCACATATTTACACAGTGCACAGATTTCCTAGATTGCTTCATTTTTTTAACAGTTTATGAGGTCCAAGCAAGGTCCGTTTGTTGCATTTAGTTGATACCTGTCTTAAATCTCTTTTAATCTATAAATCTCTTTCCATTTCTCTTTTTCCCTCTCAACTCATTTACTGAATTTACTGGAGAATTGGTGCCATAGTTTCCCATTTTCTCCATTTTGGGGATTGAACCCTCTGGTGTAATTTAAGGAGTTCTGTCTGTATTCCTCTAATCTGGCTTAATTGCATGAGCTGTGATTTTTTTGTAATAAGATTCCATAGATGCTGCCATATACTTCCATCAGGATTCACAAAAATGACTGGTTGCTTTTTTTTTAAATAGATAATTTAAAGTCTCTAAGAAAGTATTTTTGTGAGGCGCTTATATCTACTCAGTATGCAGGGGCATTTAATCATACCCAAGGAGTATATTACATGGGATGTTTCAAGCTGAGGAACAGAGAAATAAGGAAGCTGCCCGTAAAGATTCAGATCAATTGATTTTCTTGAGACTTTATCCATCTTATTTGCTTACTCTAATATTAGCTCAAGCCATTTAAACCTTCCAGTTTTTCCAAGGATAAGTGGTCATACGCTAAAGAATGCAAGAAACTGCCAATTATAGAGCAAGCAATTGAAGAAAGCCTTAAATTTTTACCACAGTCTTTAGTGAAACAAACATATTTTAAAAGAGAATAATATAGTGTGTTTTAAAGAATTTGGAAACTATTATTTTATCCTACTATGGAAAGATATTGTATTATTTTTCCTCAAATTTAAATGTTAGTTCAGTTCTGCAATTCCAACTCCAGTCATTGTTAGTTTAAATGATAAGTAGGTTTCATCGTTGCTAAAGGACCTGAAATCAAAATATACAGAGACTGCATCAGGATAACATTGCCACATACCGTGTGCCTAAGCGGGAAGAACTCAATGTACCTCCTCAGTCATTCTAGTCCCTTTCTTCCAACTCCACACAATCGGAAATACTCGGTTCAGTTCTGTGTTCCTCGTTTGGAGCTTATAGGAACAGAATGATGATTAATGCACAGTGAACCAGGGCTGGTGCAATTGGCAAGATATTACACGGGTCATGAAAAATGCTTGCTTTAGAAAAAACAAGGAAGACTTCTCTAGTAAATTATTGAAGTATAATGAGAGTGCCTTTATGGTTATAATAAAAATGTAAATTATCTCTGATTTTGAGCCCTTATGTTTTGTATGTATCATAATTAGCATTTATAGCACTTCTTTTCTGCAACATATTTTGAAATTACTCCATAGACAGAAAGTTTGTAAAAGTCGCTTAGGGAAAACAACTTGGGTTGTGCATGAAAATTATCTTTCTCTAAAACTCTTTATGTATGTGTGTGTGTATACACACACACATACATATATATATGTATGTATACACACACACATACATATATATGTATATATATATATTAAGTTTATTTATTGTTTAATTTACATCCAAGTTAGTTAGCAAACAGTGCAACAGTGACTTCAGGAATAGATTCCTTAAAGCCCCTCACCCATTTAGCCCATCCCCCTCCAGCAACCCTCTGTTTCTTCTCTATATTTAAGCGTTTCTTATGTTCTGCCCCCTCCTTGTTTTTATATTATTTTTGCTTCCCTTCTCTTATGTTCATCTGTTTTGTATCTTAAATTCCTTATATGTAAAACTCTTCCATTTATGAAGCACTGTTCATTGAACACCTACTAGGTATCATGCATTGTTCTTAGTACCAAGATTAACAGGTCCGTAGAGTATGGTACCGGTACCTTCTGCACGATGGCAGCGCAGCAGAGAGCTGGGAGGGTTAGGTTAGAGCAGTTTCCTAAAAACAATTGCTGAATAGATCTGAAAGAATTACTATTCTGTAACTTGGCCCAGAAAGGGTATCTAGAAGTTTCTAGCGGGAGTTGAGAAGAAAAAGTGAATGCCAAGTGGAGGAGACAAAATGAAAAATGTCACAAAGGTAAGAAATTGCATGGTTTGTGAAGAAAAACTCCAAGTGTCCCAGTGGCTGAAGGAAGAAGGGAGTGAGAGAAGGTGGAGATGGATCTAGTAGGGCTGGATCACGCTCATGGCATTAAGGCACTTGAATAGTGTATAAGAAATAGAAAACCATTGGGGCGCCTGGGTGGCTCAGTTGGTTGGGCACCAGACTTCGGCTCAGGTCATGATACGGTGTGTGGGTTCGAGCCCCATGTAGGGCTCTGTGCTGACAGCTCAGAGCATGGAGCCTGTTTCAGATTCTGTGTCTCCTTCTCTCTCTGATCCTCCCCTGCTCACACTGTCTCTCTCAGAAATAAATAAAACATTTAAAAAATTAGTAAATAAAAGAAATAGAAAAACATTGAAGGGCTTTAAATGAGAAATGACATGATCAAATTTGTGGGTAGCACCTTTGATTCTGCTTTGATACAGTTTTGGGTTTTCTTTTATAAGTTTATTTATTTATTGGGGGCAGTGGGTGCAGAGAGAGATGGAGAGAGAGAGAATCCCAAGCAGGCTCCGCACTGCCAGCACAGAGCCCAACACAGGGCTCAATCTTACAAACCCTGAGATTATGACCTGAGCCGAAATCAAGAGTCAGACACTTAGCCAACTGAGTCACCCAGGCACCCTTTGATGACAGTTTTGAATGGGACAAGATTGCAGACAGAAGATTCAAGCAATAGTCCACTGTTTTCATTGAAGGAGATAAGGCCATGATAGTGGAAGGCAGTAGTGGAAGGAGAAGACATTTCAAACAATCTGTAGATGGCAAATGTAGCAGAATGTGGACTTCATTAATTAGTGATTAATGTTATGTAGTTGGGAGAGGAGGGTCCTGAGAGAAACGAAGGAATCAAGGACAGTATGGAGCTTCTAACTTGAAGGACAGACTGAGGGGGTGCTACCCAGTGAGCTATAGAATGGAGTGAAGTAACATGCTTGAAGGAGGTGAGAAATTATGCATTTTGAGATACCTGTAACATTTCTTTTTTTAAAATATTTTTTAATGTTTATTTATTTTTGAGAGAGAGGGAGAGAGAGAGAGAGATAGAGCAGGAGCAGGGGAGGAGCAGAGAGATGGGGAAATGCAGAATCTGAAGCCGACTCCAGACTCTGCACTGTCAGCACAGAGCTAGCTGGACACGGGCCTCAAACCCACCAACCACGAGACCACGACCCGAGCCGAAGTCAGACACTTAACCAACTGAGCCACCCTGGTGTCCCTGAGATACCTGTGACATTCCTAAGTAATTAAATATACAACCCCAAAGCTTATGGGAGGGGACTGACAAAATCAGTAGAGACTGAAATTGGAACAATTATTAAAACACAGATGCCGAGGTTGCCCAGAAGGAGTTGGAAAAAAGAAAAAGCAATTGGGCTAGAGCTAAACCGTCAGCATATTAATATTTAACAGGTTGGCAGAGTAAGAGGGTACCAAGTAGGAAATGGAAAAAGAAGGGTTATCAGCAAAGCAAAATTAGGAGTCTTGTGTCAAGAATGTCAAGAGATAAGAAGATTTAGGAAGGCGAGAGCAATTGAGATTGACAAGAATAAGACACCGTTTTTTGGGTTTTTTTTTAATTTGAGTATGGTTGACACACAGTGTTACAGTATGGCTGACACATAATGTTACATTAGTTTCGGGTGCACAACTTAATGATTTGACAGGTTTGTACATGATGCTCTTTTCACCACAACGTAGCTGCCACCTGTCTCATTATATCTATTACAATATCACGCACTGGATCCTTATGCTGTGACTTACTCATTCCACAACTGGAAGCCTGTGTCTCCTACTCTCCTTCACCCATTTTGCCCAGCCTCCCACCCTCTTCCTTTCTGACAACCATGAGTTTGTTCTTCATATTTATAGGTTCAGTTCTGCTTTTTGTTTCATTATTATTTTTTTTAGATTCCACTAATGAGTGAAATCATATAGTACTTGTCTTTCTCAGTCTGACTTATTTCACCTAGCCTAATACCCTAGGTCCATGCATGTTATCTCAAATGGCATGATCTCATCTCCTATTTTAATTTTAATTTGAGTATAGTTAACATATAGTGTTATATTAGTTTTGGGCATACAATATGGTGATTCAACAATTCTATACATCACCTAGTGCTCATCACTAGTGCAATCCTTAATCACCATCTATTTCACCCGTTCTCTACCCACCTCACCTCTGGTGATTAGCACTGTGTGCTCTATAGTTAAGAATCTACTTATTGGTTTCTCTCTCTTTTTTCCCTTTACTTGTTTATTTTGTTCCTTGAATTCCACATAAGAGTGAAATCATTTGGTATTTGTCTTTCTCTGACTTATTTAGCTTAGTATTATACTGTCTAGCTCCACCCATGTCATTGCAAGTGGCAACATTTCATCCTTTTTTATGACTGTGTAATATTCGTGTGTGTGTGTGTGTAAGCACTCATGCATGCACATAAGTACACATATGTATTATACACCACATCCTCCTTACCCATTTGTCTATTGATGGATACTTAGGCTACTTCCATATCTTGGATATTGTAAATAATGCTTCAATAAACATATGAGGTGCATGTATCTTTTCAAATTAGTGTTTCGATTTGGTGTGAGGGGGTAAATACCCAGTAGTGGGATTATTAGATCATACGGTATTTCAATCTTTAACCTTTTGAGGAACCTCCATAGTATTTTCCAAAGTGACTGCACCATTTATATTCCCATCAATAGGGCATGAGGATCCCTTTTTCTCTGCAACTTCGCCATCTTTGTTTCTTGTCATTTTGATTCTAGCCACTGTAACTGGTGTGTGACAATATCTCATTATGGTTTTGATTTGCATTTCCCTGATGATTAGTGATGTTGAGCATCTTTCATGTGCCTGTTGGCCATCTGTATAATAGACCTACACTCTTATTTAGATGTCACTCTTCTATGTTACTAGAAAGTCTTATGCATGCCTCCAATAAAGCACTTTTTAATTGTACAGGACTTTATCTTAATACTTTCATGATACGAAAAGTTCCCCAGGTCACAGACATTCTATTTGGCTTTGTATTTCAGGGACCTAACAGCAGGTGCCCAACAAATAGTTGAAGCAAGACAACTGAAGTGTGCCAAACAGCACTGGCAATAGAGAGTGCTTAGTGATAAATAAAAAGTTTTCATAAAGTAGGATGGAGCAGAAACCAAACAGTGCATGTAGGGAAGGTGAGGAGGGAAAATCAGCCAATGTAGAATATTTTTAAGAAGTTTGAAGGGAAGAGAAGGATGGCAAGGTAATCTAATGGTTGGTACATCAAGGAAGAGTAAGTCAAGGCTGAGAGGAAGGAGCCAGTAGATGGGAGAGTATATTTTGTTGTTTTAATGAATTCAAGTAGTTAAAAAAAAAAACTTTAATGGCAAATTAAATCTATTTTACTAAATTTCATGCTCTACATTTAAAAAAATCATAATGTGGCAATTTGTTTTAGTGATAGAATAACAAAGTGTACACATAACATTTGTACTGTGGTTAGATACTGTGTTCACAATTGTCCATGAGTCTGTTTGCTTCCTTCTTCAGAATCCTGACATCAGTATGGAAGTGAACTGCATTGATTTATTGCAAGTTGAAGGATATAATTTGATAGCTGCAGGAACCTTAAATGGTGTGATTATCTTATGGAATTTTGTAAACTCTACTGTCAAAGAAGTGTAAGTTGTATCTTTAAACAATATAAAAGCTGTACTGAAAAAGAGCCAAAGTAACATTCAATACTTTTTAAAAATTTTTTAATGTTTATTTATTTTTGAGAGAGAGCGAAGAAGGGGAGGTCAGAGAGAGAGGGAGACACAGAATCCATAGCAGGCTCCAGGCTCTGAGCTGTCAGCAGAGCCCAACGCAGGGCTCAAACTCATGAACTGTGAGATCATGACCTGAGCTGAAGTCAGATGCTTAACCAAATTAGCCACCAGGCACCCCACATTCAATATTTTTTAAAAGCAATAAATAACAATGGTATAACAGTGGTGATGCTCTCCAGAGAGGGTTTTCTGGAAGTTACATTCATGAGATTTGTTCTGCATGTCCAAATCCCTGAGTAATATGATAAGAGGAAACGTAAGTATTCATATTCTCAAGCCCCTTGACTTTTACTCTTCTTCTCCTAGTACATACTTTCATATGTGATCCTGTCCTCATTTGTAACCAACACAAAAAGTTAAAATATATTTTTTCCATTTTTTTAATGTTTATTTATTTTTGAGAGAGAGATAGAGAGAGACAGAGACAGAGATGGGGATTGAGGACAGAGAGAGAGGGGGACACAGAATCTGAAGCAGCTCCAGGCTCTGAGCTGTCAGCACAGGGCCCAACGTGGGGCTTAAACCCATGAGCCAACAAGATCATGACCTGAGATAAAGTTGGACACTTAATTGACTGAGCCACCCAGGTGCCTCTAAAATATATGTTTTAAACACTAATCTCCCTAGAGTCTAACACACATATCTGGCAATGACCATCTAGGTCATCAACAACACCCTTAAAGCCCAACTTTGTCCCAGTCTTCCCCTCTCCCATGCATCTAGCTCCTCTTCCTGTCTTCCCAGGGATACCACCATTTTTCAGCCACCAAAGTCAAATGATGAGAAGGGTTCTACATGGGTTTTCTTTTTATTCACCACTGCAATGTGTGCAGTGCATTATAGGTCATTGCTAACAAGAGAGTGGCATATGCAATTAAATAAATAGATCTCAACCAATCAGATATGCCCTGCTCCATAGCCAAAAGCTTTACCCACTCCCCACTATCCACTTCTGAATATTCTTACCATTGTCTGTAAAGGAAGTCATGTAACATTGGATTATTTGCTGTGGGTGGGTTGTAAATAATAAACTCTCCCCAGTTGTGTAATTGGGCCATAAGCAAGGGCCAAGCATAAACAGCCTGTGTCAAGAAAACTTGTAATATTGTACTTTGAGGTACAAGGTGGTCAAGAACCTTAATGAATGAATAACAATAAAATCAAGTCTATCTAAGCATTCAGAGGAAGGGGAGAGGTATAAAAGAGGGAGAAGAGCATTAGAAAGGAGAAGAGGAAAGAGAAAATGCAGAAGAAGCCTCCGCTTCTCTATTTACAGTGCCTCAAACACTCCTGGTCCACCTGGACCCCATGCCCCTTTCCAGCCTACGTCTGAGACTTTTAACCAACTTTTGAGGGAAACTACGCCTCTCTTGTTTGGATCCTGGATTTGTTCTCCTTTGAACCGTTAGTTGAATCAGCTCTTTCTGCAGACTTCTCCCTTGTGCCTCAGCCTGTGCTCTCTTGGGTCCTGCCCTAGAATTCCCGTCATCCTTCTCTTCCTGCCTTTCACTTGCCCTTGGGTTTTGTCATGACTGCATACTTGTCACTCGACACCCATATCAGTATGCGCTGTGCAGCTCTTCGCCTTCTTATTAAAGCAGTTCTCATGCTGTGTCAGCCTGTGCGTGACTCACTAGGAAGGGAAAGCAGATAGTCTGTGGTCCTGCTGCCACAGCATCAAGACGGAAGCTCCCCTGAGACTATTCCTTGAATAGGAGATTCTGAAGAGGAGATGCTGTTTGTCAAAGGGCTAAGAATTTTCGCAAAGGGTTGCATGCAAATCCAGCACTCCGTCAGAGGAAAGTAATGGTACAACAAGCTGTACATACATTATGTTCCCTCCCCATGAGAAGATGATCATACCAAAAGAAATGATTTAGAATTACTTTAGCATTTTGCAAAACATACAATTTAGTACAGAACTGTCTAATGTAATTTGGGCCCAGCTTTCAAAAGGCTCTAAAGTTGACGGTGGTTTCCACATTCATGGTGGAAGTCACCTCTACCTCTGCTCAAACTTGCCCAAGACCCCTTCACCAGTCAGGAGACATAGCCTTTCTCTTCCTGTTCAAAGTCTTGTGCCTTTTGGGGGGCCCAAACTGGAAATTCTTCTTGCTAGTTACTAACCCACTTTATCGTTTGGATCATCCTCAGGGCAGAAGTATCTAAAAGAGTTTGAGCTCCATACGTCATCAAGCCCAGGGCTCTTCTTCAGAGCTCAGTTCACTCCTGAGCAGCTTCCTCCAACACGCATCAGTCCAAATTAGCAGAGGCAATTTCCACTAAAAGAAATTTCCAGTTTTTGCTACAAGATCTACTTGCAGTGAGAATTTTAAGTGTGGCCTTAGGAGCCAAGTAGGCAGAGCCAGCCTAGGCTTAAGGACTATCACTGTGCTCCCAGGAAACTGCCTAGAGAGATACATGGTTCTTTGAAATCTGTGTCAATGGGAGAGGAGCTGCCAGAGTAATCAGTGTAATCAGCGAGTTACCTGCTTGCCTCCTCTATTCAATTCTAAGCTCCTAAGGGTCGTCACCTTATTTTATTCAACTTTGCCACTCCACTTACTCAAATAATAGAATTCTATTCTTCAAAATTTCTGAAACTTCCAGGAGGTTATATATAAGCCCACTTTGACCTATTAGTAGAAGGCTAGACCCACTAATTGGATTAAAAGACTTTCTTTAAAAATGTTTTTAATGTTTATATATTTGAGAGAGAGAGAAAGAGAGAGAGAGAATGTGAGCAAGGGAGAAGCAGAGAGACAGAGAGGGAGACACAGACTCCAAAGCAGGCTCCAGGCTCTGAGCTGCCAGCATGGAGCCCAACACAGGACTTGAACTCACAAATCGCAAGATCATGACCTGAGCTGAAGCTGGGCGCTCAACCCACTGAGCCACTCAGGCTCCGCAAGAGACTTTTAAACACTAAGTTGGTCATGTGGTTACACAGGGCCTTATTAAGGAAGATAAGTTCCAACTCTACTCCTCTGGGTTTTTGCTTCATGTTCAGTGCTATCAGCACTGCAGGAATTGAGCTCTGCATGGGGTATATAAGTAACGCAAGTTGCCTAACTTGTAAATGTTTACCATGTAAATGTATGCTTCACTTCCAGGTACAGACCTGAAGATTGCTTCAAGGTGGACCCTGATTTGGATCCCAAACGCTTTAGAATCAATGACATACTGTTCCTCTTTCGAACCCCTGAATGTGCAAGGTAACTCGGTACTTACTGATCAAGAAATACTGTCTGGGACTTATGTAGATGATGTAAAAAGAGTTCTCCCTATCCAGGCACTAAGGATGGTACAACTGAGAGAAGACATAAATTGGGTGTGCTACTTGGCTTAAGTTTTCTTCCCTGCTACTATCTTTTATAGGTAGGTGGTCCCCCAGAACCTGATTTGCTGTGTGGGGTCTCATTTTCCTTACCGCGTCAGCCTCACAGCAATCTCTACACCAGTAGAAGAGGCAGAAAATGCTCACTTGACCACACTTGTGGCCAAAATGAGGGAGAGCTTGCAGGGCAAATGTAAACTATAGGAGCAGGCTTCATACGACATCTGCTAAAAACTAAGCCATCCCCATCCATTTCTGAGGGGGAAGGACATTGTTCTTTAAATATTTAAGGAAAGCTATGTTTCCTGTCTAGACATGTTTGAGAGCTCTGATTTTCAGGCAACATGTAAAGGGAAACATCTCTAGGAAGAAATCAAAGGCTTCTCTGTTGGTTTCGAGTCACCCTGTGGTGAGCAAGAATGTACAACCTTCCCTACCCCTTGACTCGAAATGGACTTAGTATGAGACTGTTTTGAAGACTTGTTCCACATCGATGCCCACGTGGGAACCTAAGTCACTTTCCAGTCCATTCCAGCAGAGTGTGGCCGAGACAACCAGGCCAGAAGTGGGAACTGCAGAGCAGGAGTTAGCCAGGTTTTTCAGGTGCCCACCTCCAACCCTCTTCCTGGCATTTAAGAGTCAGCTCCTAGGAATACATCTAGCCCGAGCAGTGGGAAAGGGAAGAGTTTTATTTCCCAGACCCAGGCAACACTAAATCTTATTTACTGAGGCTCCCCAACAGGAGAGATGAACCAATACCAATACCAGGCAGATGAACATTGGTAACGCAAGATAGAAGGTGTGATTTGTTTCTTGAGTGGCTCAGTATCCATAGATGATGAGAGAAGTAATCTACTGAAGTTAAAGCAAGAAGAGCACACTTCGTGTAGGATAGAATATCTTAACTGTCCTTCCTTGAGCTTCTCCCTCTCCCTCTAGGAGATCAAGTCAGGATTCCGTGTGCTCCTCATCACAATGTGATTCTAGTAAAGGTCCACAGAGCAGCAAGGTAAGCAAGAAATAGAAAGAGTATGCTTTCCTGTTACATCCCATATTAGTTCAGAAATAGTGACTGGTCCCATTTGACCCGCTCCTTTGAGAGAAGGTCAAGGTGGAAAAACTCTGTGTGTACATATGTGTGTAAAACCTTTTTTGTTTTCCTAAAAAGCAATGTCTAACCTGTTTTTATATATTACTTCCTGTATTTTCATGGCTTTCATATCTGCAAATAATCCATACATATAAATAAAATACATTAAATATGCTGTCTTTACATTTCTGAAATAATAAAGCAATTTTAGACAACCTCTTTTGCCAAAAAGTATTGCACACATTTCACAGGGAAGAGATGACACATGGTGCAATATACAGTGGTTTTCAAACTCTGTTCTTAGTCCCACTTTCATAGATTTGACCCATTATATCTCTGGTAGGATTTTGTTTTATTTTGTTTTAATATTTCTTATGTTTATTTTTTTGAGAAAGAGATAGTAGGGGAGGGTCAGAGAGAGAGGGAGACAGAGAATCCAAAGCAGGCTCCAGGATCTGAGCTGTCAGCATAGAGCCTGACCTGACACGGGGCTTGAACTCACGAACCGAAAGATCATGATCTGACCTAACCAACTGATCACCTAGGCACCCCTCTAATAGGATTTTGTTTTAAAGGAAACTTATCACTGCAAAACTTATTTTAAAACCACTAGTATGGTGAAAAGAGCAAACTCACAAGGATGTAAGAGTCAGAAAGACTTGTACTTCAACCAGGTGCTCCGTTTATTTTCTGATGAGCTTTAGAGACATCGCCTAATCTCTGAGTTTCTGGTTATCAAATAAAACCTAACTGCCATGGTTGCCCAAACATGTACACCAAGAACATGGCATGCATTAGACATGTAATGACTTTCATTGTTATGCCCTCCCTGAGTCACTAGAATGTTGTGTTACAGATACCCTATTTATGAACATGACAGTCTCCGTAATACTTGTTTTAAAATAATTAATTCAAACACAACTTCAGGGGCGCTTGGGGTGGCTCAATCAGTTAAGTACCAGAATCTTGATTTCGGCTCAGGTCATGACCCCAGGTTGCAGACTCAAGTCCCATGTTGGGCTCTGCACTGAGTGTGGAGCCTGCTTAAGATTCTCTCTCTCCCTCTGTCTCTGTCTCTGTCTCTGTCTCTGTCTCTCAAATAAAAAAATAAAATAAAAACTTCAAAACTAATGCTTAGAAATATAAAATTAGGGGCGCCTGGGTGGCTTAGTCAGTTAGGCGTCCGACTTCAGCTCAGGTCATCATCTCACAGTCCATGGGTTCGAGCCCCGTGTCAGGCTCTGTGCTGACAGCTTAGAGCCTAGAGCCTGCTTCAGATTCCGTGTCTCCCTCTGTCTCTGACCCTCCCCTGCTCATGCTATCTCTCACTCTCTCAGAAATAAATAAAAACATTTTTTAAAAATTTTAAAAACAGTTAAAAAAAAGAAATGTAAAACTAACAGAGAACAAACTGATGGTTGCCAGGGGGAGAGGTTGGGGGATGGGCAGAATAGGTGCAGGGAAGGGGGAGGTATAGGTTTCCAGTTATGGGGTAAATAAATCCCGGGGGGAAATGATAGAGCAGAGAGAATATAGTCAATAGTATTTTAATAACATTGTATGGTGACAGATGGTGTCTACACTTGTGCTGAGCATGGCATAACTTAAAGACTCACCCACTTGCTATGTTGTACACCTAAAACTAATGTAACAATGTAACATTGTATGTCAACTGTACTCAAATTTTTAAAAATTAGAAACAAAATGTAAATTCATCTGAAGAATCTACTCATCCAGTGTATCTCATTTCCTTACGATGTCACCTAAATGCTTTCTCTTTTTCTCTCCTAATTCAGGGAAGCAAACAGAGCATACATGACACAGAAGTTAAAGGTCAGTATGAAGTCACCTCTCTCCCTTGTAACAATTTCTTTGCAGTGGAAGTTCAGGTTCTAAAATAGTCTTTTTTATTTAGAACTTAGTTGTTTTTTTTTTTAATTTTTTTTCATGTTTTTATTTCTAGGAGGGAGAGAGAGAGAGAGACAGCGTGAGCAGGGGAGGGTCAGAGAGAGAGGGAGTCACAGACTGAAACAGGCTCCAGGCTCTGAGCTGGCAGTCAGCATAGAGCCCGACGCGGGTCTCGAACCCACGAACCGCGAGATCATAACCTAAGCGAAAGTCGGACGCTTAACCGACTAAGCCACCCAGGCGCCCCAGTTCTAGAATAGTCTTAACGAATATACAGTACATCTTTTTTTGTGGCTAAATGTTGAAGTAGTATAAGATTCAGCAGTCTACGAGGCAGAATTTCCATTATGATGATGCCATTTGGAATACTAATTCTAGGGGCTCCTGGGTGGCTCAGTCAGTTAAGCATCTGACTTCGGCTCAGGTCATGATCTCACGGTGCATGGGTTCAAGCCTGGCGTCAGACTTTGTGCTGACAGCTATCTCAGAGCCTGGAGGCTGTCTTTGGATTCCACATCTCCCTCTCTCTCTGATCCTCCCCTGCTCACACTGTCTCTATCTCTCTCTCAAAAATAAATAAAACATTAAATAAATACATACATACATACAAATTCTAGATTTTTAAAAATCCAATGCATTACTGAGCTTCTTAGTCTTCAGTCCATAGAGCTTATACTAGATTTGTAAGACTTACACTGGGGGCATGTGTAAGACTTACACTGGGGGTATACCTAGTTTTAGCTGAGATTTTTGGGATAAGATCAAACATACTTGTTTTTTCCTCCAGGAATCCAGGATTCTATTTGTTAATGCTTTTTTGTTCTCTGCCCTGAGTGAAGTTCTCTGAGGTTGAAAAAAATTATTCTGGGGGAAAGAATGTGTTGTCTTATGATTTTCCTACCTGCCTCCTCTTTTATGTTCTATAAAGTATGTAATTCCAAGTATTGCAAATATTCACGGTAGCACATTAACCTTCCTGTAGGTGAAAACACTGATGTCACAGCAGGCCAGCAACATCCAGCTGACAAAAAACACTCTGCAAGCACCAATTTAGTAGAAGCTCAGCCCCCTATCATTGTTTCTGCTCATGAGGATGGACATCTTCGCTTGTGGACCATGGAGGTGACTGGACCCATTACTTACCTGGAGCAGCAGAGAATGAGCAAGATAAAAGTATTATTGAATGAATCCTAACCTTCTGAGGCTCCAGAGAGCATCCAATTCTAGTATTTTTCAACCTTCTAACGAATGGTGGTTCCACAGCCTTCTCACTGAAAATGCTACTCAAACCTTACAATAGGCCAGCTCTGTATCTCCAGAGCTCCAATGATCAAAACTGCTGAGTTAACTGTTGCAAAGCTTTCTTTGTTTTAAGCTGAGCTATGAGTACATGCCACTAACTATTTCATTGGATATTTAAATAATATTAGAGTATGTTAATGATGTATGACAGCAAAAGAATATAAGAGCACTCAAATATTGAGCTTGTATAAATTTTTAGTTATCTAAACTATTGGAAGAAGTTATCACATTGTAATGAATGTCCTTAAGTATTTTACAATGAAAACATAGCTTTTATTTACCAGAAGATTTTAAATGACTTGGAGTGGAGAGTTTAAAATTGGGAAGACAGAGACGATTGAAAGAAGGATCTTGCCCGGTGCTTGTAGCAGTGAAATCATTAGAGAGGCAAGTGGGAGATCCAGAAAAGGGTCACCATTTTGTACGGCAGATAGACCCAGTGACATGGAATCCCACAGGCATCTGCTGGATAAAACCTCCTGGCCTATCAATAGATTTTAGCTTGTAAGAGGGAAAATCTTGGTTTGAAAATATGAACCTTTCAAAAATATTTTTTAATTTTATTTAGAGACAGAGCAAGTGGGGGAGGCGGGGGAGTGGAGAGAGAGAGAGAGAGAGAGAGAGAGAGAGAATCTCAAACAGGCTCACATCCAGTACTGAGCCCGACATGGGGCTCAATCTCATGACTGAGATCAGGACGTGAGCTGAAATCAAAGTCAGTCGCTTAACCAACCAAGCCTCCCTGAAAATACAAACAGTTGTTAACAACTTTTCCTGAGAGTATCTTGGTATCAGATCAATGCCTTTTCTTTTTCTGATAGAGAAATAAAAGAGTGACAGAAGAGAGATTATTCTCAAATAAATCTCAGGAAATGATTCACAGACTCAAATTCTCTCTTCTTTATTCAATGTTTGTTTATTTATTTATTTATTTATTTATTTATTTATTTACTTTGATGAGGAGCAGAGAGCATAAGCAGGAGAAGGGCAGAGAAAGGGAGAGAGAAAGAATTTCAAGCAGGCTCTATGCTGTCAGCACAGAGCCCGATGCAGGGCTGGATCCCACGAACCATGAGATCATGACCTTAGCTGAAATCCAGAGTCAGATGCTTATCCAACTGAGCCACGCAGGTGCCCTATCAAATTTTGTCTTCTGAAGCGTGGGTGTTTATTGTCTAAGTGAGGCGGTGCTTGTGGAAAGTCCTTCCTGATGCTGACTTATCCTAAGAACTGAACAATAATCTGCTGAATTTGAATCTCTTAGAATTTCTTTATCTTGCACCAATTTTCAAAATAGGTAGATCTGAAAAGATACGTGCAATATTACTGGTTGAGACAGACACATGTAAACCTGAAAAGAATGTTTGTTTAGAAGGGAAATACGTACCTGGAAAAGAAGTCTGAGGAAGTTCATGGAAAGGGTCACGGGAAGTGTAAGAAATAATCCCCAAGAATAGAAAGGGTCTGTAATAATCAGAGTCTAGATGCTCTTCATAGTTGAACATCTTTATGAACATTTCATTTCAAGGAAATAAGTCCCTTCAGATAGTTTCAAATTGTTTTTATTACAGAGAAGAGCATCATGTTGTAGTATCAGACATAATTTTTTAGATGGATTATTTATAGAGAAATTCAACTCCAAGGTTAATATTTTATAGACTTTATTATCATACTTTATTCAGGGAAAGCTACTGAAAGATATGCTGCCTTTCACAAAACATTCTGCCATTTCTCTGACGTCGCTGTATACTGATTCATGTGCCAGGTTACTTCTGACTGGAAATATGGGTAAGTCACACTTAGGCAGTCGTCTACAGATAGTTCCGTAACTATGACACAAAGATGGAGGTAGGAAAATACATGACATTTATTGAGACAAAAGAAAGAATGAGAAGGATGCTGAAGTTATGAGTAGCTTGATGAATAAATAGAGTAATGAGTGAATAGAAAAATGAATAGAACCTACTCCATTTCTAGGTCTTTATTTAGAGGAAGACAATCTATTTTTTCCCATACCTGTTCTCTGACCTTCCATATTGGGAAGAATGTAAAGTTTTCATTTTCATTGGATTATGTTGTATTCATCTCATTATAAAGGGAGTAATGGCATGAATTTGGAAGGAAAGGGATTATTTGTTCTCATTAGGGGAACCTTGTATTGACTGATTGTATCTTAGTTGGTCTTCATTCTTTGATGTAACACCATTCTTTTTTCTAATGCTTTATTTCCTTTCTTATACCTTTTTAATTAATCGTGGATTATCTGTCTTTTCAGCTCACCCAACTTTGAAAGATTATGTGAGTTTGTGGATCATCATTCATGGTGTAAATACATCTTAACATTTTAGTAGTGTTTACTTCTAAGTTTTTCAAGAAAAACACACAAAACTAACCAGTTTGTTAGAATTTAGACTGAAACAGCATCTTTTCAGTTAAACAAAAGCTTGGCCCACTTTTCCTTTTCTTATATTCTACACCCACCCCTTCGCTTATCAGTTGCTACTGTAACCTTCAGATTTGCATTCAGGTACTGCTATTATATTAACATTTAAATTTTAGGGGCACCTGGATGGCTCAGGTGGTTAAGCCTCCCACTTCGGCTCAGGTCATGATCTCACTGTGGGTTCGAGCCCCGCGTCGGGCTGGGTGCTGACAGCTCAGAGTCTGGAACCTGCTTCGGATTCTGTGGCTCCTCCTCTCTCCGCCCCTCCCCCATTTACACGCTCTGTCTCTCAAAAATAAATAAATGGTAAACAAAAAAGTAAATTTTACATCTTTTCTTAAAAGAACATTGTTCTCATTTCAAAACTTACTTTACAAAAGTCACATCAGTTAGTACCATCAATTATTTCAGTCTTCTGGAGATTATAGAAAATAATGCTTTATATTTATATTCAGTATAATAAGTAGCTTTTACAACATTTGTTTAAAATTATCTCGGGGTACCTGGGTGGTTTAGTCGGTTAAGCGTGCACCTTCGGCTCAGGGTTCAAGCCCCGCATTTGGCTCTGTGCTGACAGCTCAGAGCCTGAAGCCTGCTTTCAGTTCTGTGTCTCCTCCTCTCTGCCCCTACCCCACTTGTGCTCTGTCTCTCAAATATAAATAAATGTAAACAAATTCAAGTTATCTTTATTTTATCTGATTTTATTGCTCACCACCTGTCCTATTATACTCTGATATTCTTATTCTTGACTTCCAGCTTTTATCTATCAGTCTCCAAGGTTTCCAGAAACATTGTTTCTGTTTACAGCTGACTGGTAGAAAAATCTAAGGTCAAGCAAATTATATTGCTTTTTAAAAATTGCCTGCATATTTTTGCACTAATTTTACCTACTATGGGGTAATTCTTTTCTAACAAAATACATAGAACTAAAATTTGAAATTATCTACAGAGTTCTCAAACCACACTTCTTTTGAGAGTTATTCTTCTTTGCCTCTGCCTGGAACACTTTACTGCCGCATAACTCTTCTACTTTTTAAAAAATGTTTAATGTTTATTTTTGAAAGAGAGAGAGAGAGAGAGAGACTATGAGCAGAGGAGGGGCAGAGAGAGAGAGAGAGAGGGAGACACAGAATCTGAAACAGGCTCCAGGCTCTGAGCTGTCAGCACAGAGCCCGACGCGGGGCTCGAACCCACAAACCACGAGATCATGACCTGAGCCGAGGTTAGATGCTTAACTGACTGAGCCACGCAGGTGCCCCAACTCTTCTACTTCTTGAAATTTGTGGGGTTTGCTATGATTTAGAAAACTAGCGTAGGGTGGGTTTGGGATCCAATCCAGCCTCATCTATATTATAATTAAAGAAGACTTCTAGATTCTGACCTTAGGCTTCCTTTTCTGTGTTACAGTAGACGTTAAAAGAGCTATGTGGGTAGCCATCTAGTCACTGTTGGAAATCAGGCATCCTCAAACATCATTAGTGGTTGCTTTTTTTGTTGTTAGATAGGATTTTTTTTTAGATCAGTTTTGGGTTCACAAAAAATTGAGTGGAATGTACAGAGAGTCCCATACACCCATTCTGCCCTCACCCCCTCCCACACACAGCCTCCCCCACTTTCAGTCTCCTGCACCAGAGTGGTACATTTGTTACAACTGCTAACACATCGGTATCATCCAAGGTCCATAGTTCACACTGAGGTTCACTGTTGGAGTTGTGTATTCTATGGATTTTGACAAATGTTTGATGATGTGTACCCACCATTATAATGTCATATGCAGTAGTTTTAATGTCCTAAAAATCCCGTGTCCTGCCTAATCATCCCCCCTCCTCCCTAACTCCTAGCAACCATAGATCTTTTTATTGTCTCCGTAGCTTTGCTTTTTCCAGAATGTCATATTGAAAATCATATAGTATGTAGCCTTTTCAGACGTCCTTCACTTAGAAATATTCATTGAAGTTTCCTCCAAGTGTCTTTATGGCTTGATAACTCATTTCTTTTCAGTGCTGAATAATATCCCATTGTCTGGATGTAGCACAGTTTACTTACCCATTCACATACTTCAAGACAGTGTGGTTGCCTCTACATTTTGGCACTAATGAATAAAGCTGCCATAAACATCTGTGTGTAGGTTCTTGTGTGGAAAAAAACCAGTTTTCAATTCCTTTGGGTATATACCAAGGAGCATATAGCTGGATTATACAGTAAGAGTATGTTTAATTGTGTGAGAAACTGCCAAATTGTCTCCCAAAACGACTCTACCATTTTGCATTTCCACCAATGATGAATGAGAGTTCTTGTTGCTGCACATTCTCATCAACATTTGATGTTTCCTATGCTTTACATTTGGGTCATTCTTAAAGACGTGTAACAGTATCTCCTTATACTTTTAATTTTCATTTTTAATAGCATATAATGTGGAATATTTTTTTCCACATACTTTTTGCCATTTGTATATTTTTCTGGATGAGGGATCTGTTCAGATCTTTTGCCCATTTTTAATTGAGTTGTTTATTTTCCTCACATATTTTAGATAAGAGTCTTTTATCAGATATGCCTTTTGCAAATATTTCCTCCTATTCTGTGGCTTGTCTTCCAGTTCTCTTTTTTTTATGTTTTGTTTTTTTTTTTTTTTTTAATTTCTGAGAGAGAGACAGCATGAACAGGGGAGGGTCAGAGAGAGAGTGAGACACAGACTCTGAAAGAGGCTCCAGGCTCTGAGCTAGCTGTCAGCACAGAGCCTGACATGGGGCTCGATCCCATGAACCGTGAGATCATGACCTGAGCTGAAGTCAGAGCTTAACTGAGCCACCCAGGTGCCCCACCAGTTTTCTTGACAGTGTGTTTTACAGAGCAGAAGTTTTCCATTTTGTTGAAGTACAGCTTATCAATGGTTTCTTTCATGGATGGTGCCTTTGATGTTGTATTTAAAAAGTTATTGCCAAACCTGAGGTTATTTAGATTTGCTTCTAGTTTCATAGTTTTGCATGTTACACTTAGATTTGTTTTCATCTGGGTTTTTTGGCTTTTGGCATTTGATGGGAAAGGTGTTAAGTGTGTTTCCAAATTGAGAGTTTTTATCATGAATGGATGTCGAATTTTGTCAGCTGCTTTTTCTGCTCTCTTGATATGATCATGTAATTTTTCTTCTTTAGCCTGTTAATGGGATGGATTACATGAACTGATCTTCACATGTTGGCCATCGTGTATAATTCTTTTATTACCACTTGGATTCAGTTTTCTTACATTTTGTTGGGGATTTTTCCATCTATATTCGCTATATTCATAAGAGCTATTGGTTTATAGTTTTCTTATAATATCTTTGGGTTTGGTACTAGGGTGTACTGGCCTCATTGAACAAGTTAACATGTATTCCCTTTCACTTTTATATTCTGGAAGAGTATTAGATAATTGGTAAGATTTCTTACTTAAATATGTGATAGAATTCACCATTAAACCCATTTTGACAGTGGTTTCTGTTTGAGAAGGTTATTAATTAATTTCTTTAATAATATAGTCCTGGGGTGCCTGGGTGGCTCAGTCAATTGACCATCCTATTCTATTTTTTATTAATTTTTTAACATTTACTTATTATTGAGAAACAGAGTGAGACCGAGCATGAGCAGGGGAGGGATAGAAAGAAGGGGAGACACAGAATCTGAAGCAGGCTCCAGGCTCTGAGCTGTCAGCACAGAGCCCGAGGACGTGGGGCTCAAACCCACAAACTGTGAGATCATGACCTGAGTCGAAGTCGGACACTTAACTGACTGAGCCACCCAGGTGCCCCAGCCCTACTCTTGATTTCAGCTCAGGTCATGATCTCACGGTTTGTGGGATTGAGCCCCACATTGGGCACCAAGCTGACAGAATGGAGTTTCTTTGGGGTTCTCTCACCCTTTCCCTCTGCCTCCCTACACACTCCATAAATAAATAAACATGTTTTAAAAAATATTATAGGGTTGCTCAGATTATCTATTTCTTCTTGGGTGAGTTTTGTCAGGTTGTGTCTTTCAAGGAATCAGTCCATTATATCCAGGTTATTAAATTTGTGGGCATAGAATTCATAGTATTCCTTTAGTATCCTTTTAATATCCATGAGATCTTTTTACTAGCCTGGCTAGAAGTTTATCAATTTTGTCAATTTTTGAAAGAAATACTTGATTTCATTGATTTTCTCTATTGAGTTCCTATTTTCAGTTCCGTTGATTTCTGCTCTGATTTTTATATCATTTCTTCTGCTTACTTTGGTGAATTTGTTCTTTTTTCTTTTATCTCATTCTAAAAGGGAAGCTTAGATTATAGATCTTCCTTTTTTTTCTAATATGTGCATGTAAATTGCCCTGTGAACACTGCTTTTGCTGCTTCCCTCTAATTTTGATGTCATATTTTCATTTTTATTTAGTTCAAAATATTTAAAAATTTCCCTTGAGATTTTTTTCTATAAGCTATTATTTAGAAGCATGTTGTCTTGTCTCTAATTATTTTGGGATTTTTCCAGCTCCCTTTCTCTTATTGATTTCCAGTTTAATTCCATTGTAGTCTGAGGACATACACTGTATGATTTCTCTTATCTCAAATTTGTTAAGGTGTAATTTATGGTCCAGAATTTGGTCTATCTTGGTGAGTGTTCCATGGGTGCTAGAGATTAATATGTGTTTTGATATTGTTGGATGCAGTAGTTTGTAGATATCAATTATACCTAGTTAAATGATGGTGTGATTAAGTTCAACTATGTCCTTACTGATTTTCTGCCCTCTGGGTCTGTCCATTTCTGAGAGATGGGTGCTCAAGTATCCAACTATGAAACTGTTTTATCTATTTCTCCTTGCAATTCTATCAGTTTTCACCTGTATATTGTGACACTGTGATGTTAGGTACATACATGGTTTTTAAATTTTTTTAATGTTTTTTATTTTAGAGAGAGATAGAAAGAGAGAGAGAGAGACAGTGTGAGTGGGGGAGGGGCAGAGAGAGAGAGGGAGACATAGAATCCAAAGCAGGCTCCAGGCTCTGAGCTGTCAGCACAGAGCCCGACGTGGGGCTCGAACTCACAAACTGTGAGATCATGACCTGAGCTGAAGCTGGACGCTTAACCGAATGAGCCACTCAGGTGCCCCTGTTGTTGCTTTTTTAAAACCTAGTTTTGTAAGTATCATGTGGATTGTAGGATGATTATCTCTATAACTGTTTGGATTCCATTTGGTAGCATTGTTTTCCTTTCTATTTCATCTGCCCTGACATTTAGAAGAAGTTTGACTTTGAGCATACATGGCAACTGTAAGTCATAATGAGGTTGCCATATATACTCAACAAAACATAATTCCTACATATAAAAATTGATACAGGGACGCCTGGGTGGCTCAGTTGGTTAAGCATCCGACTTCGGCTCAGGCCATGATCTCACGGTTCACGGGTTCGAGCCCCGCGTCGGGCTCTGTGCTGACAGCTCAGAGCCTGGAGCCTGTTTCAGATTCTGTGTCTCCCTCTCTCTCTGCCCCTCCCCCACTCATGCTCTGTCTCTCTCTGGCTCAAGAATAAATAAACTGTAAAACAATTTTTTTAAATTGATACAAATTTTTTGCTTTCATTTTTGGTTTTTCAGATTCTATTTTATTTACCATTATAAATGCCTGAGTCAAATTAATTTGGTGGTCTGGGTAGTATTTCCTGAGACAAAATGAATATCTAATTAAAGATTCCAATGCTTACATTTTATACAGAAGGACATGTTATCCTTTGCAACATCGGTTCCTTCCTGGATCCACCTCACGATGAAAAGGTAGGACCTTTAGTTTTAGTTCAATTCATGAAACAGAAATTGACCATTTCTCTGTGCTAGATACCACAAAAGATAGAAATGCAAGACAAGACTCCCTACTCTTGAGTCATATATAATACTATTGAATCTTAATAGTATTTTATTTTGATGGACACTGAGAAATGTATAGAGTTGTTGAATCATTGTATTTAACACCTGAAACTAATATAACACTCTATGTTAATTATACTTGAAATTAAAAAAAGAGAAAAACAAAAAGTCACGTGCCAAATAACAATAGTTTCCTGGTGAAAAGAAAGAATGAGTGAGTGAGGGATCCAGCCACTGACCACTTTACGTCATCTTCATGTTTTGATTTATTTGAAAGAACCTATATAGAAACCCAGAGCTTAAAAGGGCTCACGCATCATCTAGTCCTCCACAGTTAGTTTATATAGCTTACATAACTTTATAGAAAGAGATTCTATAACTTTTCCTTAGAAGCCTAATCTAGTGCCCAACCTTTGGGGATGAAAAATACAGCACAGGGAATGTAGTCAATAACACTGTAATAACATGTTATCATGTTATCATGGTGAGCGCTGACGGGTGTGTAGCCTGTTGTCCAGTTGAAGGTGACATAACATTGCATGTCAGCTATACTTGAATTAAAAAGAAAGAAACTCTTCCTCACATTTACTCTAAATCCTCCTTGTGAATCAAACATATTCAATGCTATTTTTAGTGTGACTGCAATGTAAATGTCACCATCCTTATTTATAACCATTTGAATATGCACTTTTTGTGTGAATGTGGATAAACAAATATACCTATATATATATATATATATAATACCTATATATATTATACATACATATATATATTATACCTATATATATTATACATATATATATATACATATATATATTATAGACTCATCTTAACTAATTAAAAGTTGCAGCAAGGAAGCACTATTTGGCCATAGGCTTATTTCTCTTTAAGGTCATATTTCAAATCCAAAAGGTAAATAAATAGTACTTTTTTTTTTACTATTATTTTACTATGCTTACATGGATTAAGATTGGATTCCTTGCAGAGGAATAGAATGGTACTATCTGGTACTGGTTTGGCTTCACAGAATGGTACTGTTTCAAGCATTATTACATTTGATCCATAGAATTTTCTTTTTGTTTCCGAGAACAAAAAGATTAGCTTTCTAATGTTCAGATGTTTATTTTTCCTATGATTATCTCGACTTTGCAGAGGGGAAATCAGAGACGGTCTTCCCTCATCTCCGTGTTGACATTTAATGACTAAGTCAGGATAGAACCAGGCTTCTTCTCCTCAAGAGCAGTGTTGTTTCCATATATAACATTCATTGCTATCAAATACAAAACAACATTCAAACAACTCGTGAAGCACAAAGTTTCACTTATCAACAGCTATAAATGGCCTGCAATCAAGTCATGCTGTGAGCAGAACAAAAACAAATGACATGCTTGAACCACATATACAGTGGAAAGTTATCTGTTCTCTCTTAATTGTGATGAGTATCATATGTTATTGTTAATTTTAAGGCATAAGAATATAACCCAAAGCCTACAGTTTTCCAAACGGACTTTCTATAAACAGGCAACCAAGACGTTATAAAATTTAGAGAAAATCTTAAAAACAAAATTATAAAATAACATTGAATTAGACTAATGGTGGAGTTGATTTTAAAGCATTTCCACCAGTTTATAAAAGCAAAGAACTTATTTTAATTACTTATTTGAAATTCCTCCGTATTCAATGTCATTTCAACCTTTTCTGTATTTGGACAATGTATTTTTTCCACTTTGCACATGGCTGCCTACATATAACAGAATCCGGTTATAAGATGCCTCATTATTACACAGACTAATATATATCATGAATTAAATCAGGTTCAGTTATAGGTTACAACTAACTACAATAAACTAATATGTCAGTGTATATCTCATATGTTAATCTGTTTCTCTTGCAATATTACTATTAAAAGGATGCTCCATGTAATATAGATATTCTAACAGATAGGATAGTCAAAACCTGTCCACAGGAAGAGAAATCATACATATGATAATATACACTTGTGTACAGAAAAACAAAAAAGTCTTAGAGCAATGTTTTTTTCTAAATATAGGTTATAACCCATTAGTGGGTTATAAAATCAGTGTAATGAGTGGTAACCAGTATTTTAATTAAAAGGGGGAATAAAATGCAATAGAATAGAATAGAGGATATCAATGTGCACTGCACATAGTAAAGTTAGGTATCCTTTTGTGAAGGATACTGAAACATGTTCAGTATGCACGTGCAAATATTGTATCTGTGGAATGGATCATGAGGTAAAATGTCTTTCTTACTATAGATATGGCCCATAATAGAGAAACACTTGCCTTAGCGAATTTCATCCCAAGGCAGAGAAAGAACTCTTGGATGACAAGATATTATTGAATAGCCATGAGACAATAAGTAAGAGAATGTAGATTTCACCCTGGATGTCTGAGAACAACTAGGAGGAATTGAATCTGAAGGTCAAGAAATTTATACATGTTTTCACTCATAAGTGGAACAGGGAAAACTTAACAGAGGGCCATGGGGGAGGGAAAGGGGGAAAAATGGTGGGGGAGAGGGAGGGAGGCAAACCATGAGAGACTCTTGAATGCTGAGAACAAACTGAGGGCTGATGGGGGACAGGAAGAGGGGAAGGGGGGTGACGGGCATGGAGGGGGGCACTTGTGGGGATGAGCACTGGGTGTTATATGGAAACCAACTTGACAATAAACTATGAAAGAAAAATAAATAAATAAATGAAGGTCAAGAGATTTAGGAGGAATTGTGTCTGACCTTTGCTCAAGTCTAAGTGAATAGGAGACTCATAGGAAAACTTCAAACTGCCAGAATTCTAGCTACACAAATATTCCACGTGGACGACCCAGGAAGAAGTAGTGCTTGGTCTGGGTTCATCGGTGATAGACAGGGAACGTATTCTAAGGAGATGTTGCTACAGAGCAAGCTTTCCAGTTGACAACCCTAGTTCACACAGTTTATGCCTGTTTAAAGGATCTAAACTTGAGGATAGGCCACGTCTTCAATCGAGACCCCTGATGTCTTTCAAAGAGGATGACCCAGGCCCATTCTTTTCATTGCTTCCTTGTGGTATATAGTCATCATATATAACTCTACTACCTCCTCCTCCTCCACCACCACCACCACCACCAAAAAAAATAAAATAAAATAAAATAAAATAAAATAAAATAAAATAAAATAAAATAAAATAACAAAATTACCAGGGCTATCTTTGGATAAAATTTGAAAACAGGGAATTTTTGCCAACCTCCCCTTTGGTCTTCATCTTTCATCTCTGCATCCTTCTGCCCCTGATTCCACTCTGCCTCTGTCTCTCCCACAGCCTTTTTCCTAAGGCTTTTCTTTCATCTACTCATCTTGTAATCCTCAATTAAATGTCCTTCCTCGCTTAAATGAGAAATTGCTAAAGACATAAGATCTTTCTTCTCCCAGGGATACCTGAGATGAAGAAATGCCTAAAAATGGAGGTAGGGTACCAGAGCAAGGAAGAAGAGCTCACAGGGAGAGAGGCTTCAACTTGCACAGATGTCCACACCCATTCACTCAGAAGCTGGGCTCATTAGTGATTAATGGTTTTGCTTGCTTTGGATTATGATCAGCACATACTTATGCCACAAGATATGCCTTGTTGTTGCTCTCTAGAAGTTGAAGCAGCTGCTTGCCTGGCGTGCTCATTCTTTAGAAATTGTTCGAGTAATCTACATAGAAGACAAACAAGTGGTACTTACTGCCTCCATCGACGGCTCAGTAAGGTATGGACCTTCATATTGTGAATTTAGGGTTTCGAGCATGACAAGTAAAAATTTTAAGCTACAGTTTAAATATATGCCCCAAATACAATCTTGATTGGATCATCAAAATAAATAAACACACAAACAAACAAAATGTGGCACACACAAAGGGCTTTGAAAAGACGGCCACTGGTTTGGAATTCTTTTCCATGGCCAAGGAGACGAGATGCCCTGCTCATCCATGTCAGCAGTATAACAAATACTTTAATAAAAGTGTTTTTGGTGGACTTATGTCAAAACATTAAGCAGGATGGTTATTTCAGAGAGATAGACCCACGCCCGTGGACAGTGTGATTGATTCTGCAAAGCCTACTTCTTTCCAATCACCTGGATAATGCTAAGGATACATACAAAAAAATGCTGAACAGACACACACACATATATTGCACATACAAAGAGAAAGGAAACATCATGACATTTCTTGAAACAAATTGCATATTAAACTGTCTCAAAATCATGGTAATGAATTTTCCTCTTAGGAGAATAAAGTCAGTTGAGATCGAGAGTGCTAGAGAGGCTTATAGTGTGCTGGAGAGTTTAAATATAGTGAAGGCAAAAAAGGAAGGAATATTTTACATTGTGTAAAAGCCCCTGTGTGAGCCTAGGGCTGATTTGGATCTTCACCTTGAAAGAAATAAACTCCAAAGGATTTTAAGTGAAGGACCAACATAATTTGACTTACATTTAAAAAAAATAATGTGTAGGGAATGGATTTCAGAGCAGCAAGGCAGGATCAAAGAGACCAGTTGGAAGTCTGTGCTGAGTGCAGGGGCCTGGACCAGAGCAGTGCAACAGTGCTGGAAGCAGTTAGTCTAGACCTGAGAACGATCCAGGAGGTAAAATCCAGGAGACATAAAATTTAACTGAAAGGGGAGGTAAGCAGTGGAGGTTAAGCATACCTCCTGCCATATACCACTCAGCGAACCCTGGGACCATCCATTAAGAGCGGAGGCACTAAAAGAAGAAAATACTTTGAATATGGAAAGATGAAGGTAAATCATTAGAAATGTTGAGTGAACGGTGAGTCTGGAAGGGTGTGAGGTCCTAACTGGGGTCAAACAGAGCTCTTCCTCTGCCAGAAAGGGAAAGTGTTATTTTATTCATAGGAACAATTAAAAACACGACATTTCATTATTATAGATGTTTTTCACAACTATGTCCCCTGGGTCTCTGTTCCAGTTTATTTTCAGCTACCTGTCAGCAGAAGTGCTAATTGGGGATTGTAATACACACACACACACACACACACACACACACACACAACACACACACACACCACATGTCACATGTGCACACACGTCTGTTATTATGACCATTTCCTGCTCAGAAATTTCTTTAATATTATTCCTTCAAGTGAATATCTCCCCAGATACTCAGCTCAGTAAAAGTAGCTCTATGAATAACTATCTCAGATACACATCCCTTTATAACTAAGCCATGTCCTTTTGCAAACAATGGCTGCCACTTTCTAAAAGGGTAGACAATTTTAACATTCTAAATCTTTCTTGTCAAAAAGATTATGCTATTATAATAGGAAAAAGTGTAATAAAGCCTTAGCTCTTAGACAGAGGATACATGGGGCTAAGATATTTATCCAAGACCCAGGAAATCAGGCTGAGAGGGGGGATCAGTCATCTGGGAGAATTCCGCATGCGGCAGGAAATGTCACAAAACAAGATCAGAAGCTGCTTCGGTCCTGGCCTAGAATAGAGTGAGTTTGGAGTTTTCCTGAAGATAGTCCTAACCCTCTAACTTCTGTTCTAGAAGGCCTGGTCCATTTCATTTTGGTGAAGGCTCTGGCAAGGCAGTGTAGGAAAATTAGAATGTGTAAGGGATGTAAAATGTTCATGTTACATTCTTAGGACACTGTCAGGTGTGAGGAGTCCTGGATGGATACCTCTGCTCTGTATTCTCCTTAATGCCCTCCCCCTTAACCTGGGAAACCACTTGAATTTGGTGGCATTTACCCTTAGCTCATTTAGTGATCACTCCTTATGGGTGATGATGACTGCTACCATCATTTGTTACTCTGAGGTTGAAGTCAAGATATAAAAGCAAGGTCTTCCACATACTGTTTTATCTTTCTTTAAGATGCAGGGCACACACTCCTGCTAAGGATATTCTGCAGGGTTTTAAATCAAGTGGGCTAAGAAAGATCTCATAGAGTGACCTGATGGTAAAATAATGTATATGGATAAGGAGGCACTTCTTTCACCACCATATTTCAGAACTCAGTTGTGAAAATTAGTATGGTTTTTCCATAACAGTAGGAGTTATGGATGGAGGTTGAGAGGAGTTTGTTAATAGTAAAAGCATCCTTTGGAAACTCCTCCCACAAGATCTACTGATGCTGATGCAGAGGTAGACTGCTGAGGCCTAATTCAACTAACATACTGTCAGCCAACATGGGTTCTGATCACACTGAAAGAGCAGTGTTATTCTGGGAAATATTTATTCCTTGTGTTCTGATTTTAATGAATAGGCATCATAAGTACAGATTCAAATTAACACTTCCCCAAAATTTTGTCTGTTAGAATTCTAATGGATAAAAGTTCTTATGCTATGATTGGCTCCATGTATTTAACAGGAATAGTCCCTGAATCAAGCTTAAAAATCTCTAATGGACCAGTAAAAACCCATGTCAATGATCTAATAAACAATAACTTTCACTGAATTCCCGTTACTTTCTTCTCCCTACCTTTGCCTTTCCTCAGGCTCTGGCATGCCTTCAATGGTCATTACTGTGGATATTTTGGACAGCGAAGAATGTTTGAAATATCACAAACAAGTGATTTCATTTTGCCATGTGATGTTAATGAATATCCCATAGAAATAAAAGAAGAAAACAAATTCACAGAGAAGAAGCAAAAATATGAATATCCTCTGGTATTTGACCAGCAAAAGTAAGACCATTTGGTTTCTCTTTAGATGAGCAGACAAGAATTAAACTCTTTTTTTTTTTAAGTTTATTTATTTATTTTGAGAAAGAGCACAAGCAGGGAAGGGGCAGAGAAAGGAGAGAGAGACTCTCAAGCAAGCTCCGTGCTGCCAGCACAGAGCCTGATGTGGGGCTCAAACTCATGACCTGAGCTGAAACCAAGAGTCAGACACTTAAATGACTGAGGCGCCCAAGCACCCCAAGAATTAAACTCTTTTGACACTGTGACACTGTGCTGGACATGGAGAATTCAAAAGTGAAAAGTCAAAGACTTTTCAATAACATTGCAGTCCAATGAAGGTGGGAAACATGTAAACAAAAAGCTACAATTCAGTATAATAGTACTTCTAGGAAAATGTAATTCTTAAGATAATCACAGAGGAGTAAAGTAGATATGTCTACTTAAATCCTGTGTAAGTAAAAGCACTAAATAATGAAAGACTATGATGTAGTTTTTCAAGACTAGGGAATCCAGTGAGTAAGTAAGGAAGACATGGTGGAAAATAAAGCAAGAATGTTTTATAGAGACCAAATCATAATGGGCTTTGCTTATGGGCCAACATAGGATTTTAAACTTTACAGAAATCATAGTGACAGAATACAGGAGAGAAAAAACATGTCTGAAGAAAAGGGGAGTGCTTTTGGTTTTGGACAAGTGTAAGTCTAGATGCTTGGGGACATCCAAGTGGAGATATTTAATGAGCATTGAGATAAGCCTGTCTGGATGTTGAAAAGGAAGCCACATGCACGTGGTATGATGGCAAGTAGTAGTGAGGACACATTTGTAGAATGTGGCAGTGAAGTCACATAGGACAATAGAAAAGTAAACACTGGATTGGCATTATTTCAGCTGATGGCCCTGGAGAGGGTAATTTCAATGGAGTGATGGGGTAAAAGTCACAGGGTAGTGCTTGAGAAATAAATAGATGTAAGATGAGATAGAATATATTACTTTGTAAGGAAGTCAGATAGCTCTAATGTTGAACAAGAGTTTGGTTCATGGGTATGCTTGTGTCTCAGGAATACCTGAGCACTGCTTAAATTTTTTTTTAATGTTTTATTTATTTCTGAGAGAGAGGGAGAAAGAGAGAGAGAGAAAGAGAGACAGCGTGAGCAAGGGAGGGTCAGAGAGAGAGAAGAAGATACAGAATCTGAAACAGGCTCCAGGCTCTGATCTGGCTGTCAGCACAGAGCCCGAGGTGGGGCTCGAACCCACGAACTGTGAGATCATGACCTTAGCTGAAGTCGGACGTTCAACCAACTGAGCCACCCAGGCGCCCCACCTGAGCACTGCTTAAAGGCTTAGAGGAGGACAGTTCTCCATCAGGGAACAGAGTGATGGCAAAAGGTGTTTTGTGCTTTTGTGACATTCAGTCCTGGTTTTGATGTGGTTGGATCTTTGTCATTATGGAAACGATTGGTGCTTAATTGAGCTCAACATCAGCAAAACATGGTGGATGTCCTTAGGGAGCCAGATCTCCCTGGACTGGTAACATGGAGCAGACCAGAACTGGGGGAACTGACCAGATGACTCAAAAGAACAACCGGAGGGGATTGTCTAAAATAAAGCCCTTTAGGGATATCCTACATGGGTCAAAGCTGGAGAGGCTCCATGCCATCATCTAGTCCAACAGTAGGTAGAAGAAATAGGAACCGAAGCTAAGAGTCACAGGCCACACAGGAGCAATTTGAGAAAATCAACAAGGGTTCCAAGTGACTGCCAAGACTCCACTGAAGGGTTCAAGTCTTGCCTTCGCTGGCCAGCAAGAGCTCTGGAGAAGACATCTTGCCAAAACGTGAGAGGTGGTGTAGTAGAGCCAAAACTCATCAAGATATGGTAAAATTTCCCACACAAAGTTGATCACTGGGTATTTGCTGGGCCTTGAACATCCATTTATCTTAGTACTCAAAATAGTATGTTTTAATTTAGTAATATGCATCTCCTTCACTAGCTCTGTGAGTTCCTTGAGGATTAAGACCCTGTTTTACACATCTTTATATACCCAGTTCTTAGCTTAAAGATTAGCACATAACGGGCACTCAAAAAGTATTTGAGTGAATAAAGAATGACTAATTAAATGCAGAGGTAGCATCCTTAGTACTGGTGCCATTAAAGCCAGAGAATTTGGGATGCAGAGAAAGAAATGTAACGGATGTAGCAAGCAAGGAACACAACGACGTGGTTATATGCTAACAGTTTTTCTTGTATCTTTTTACACAGATGGAGAAAAATGAGTTCAATGTCTTTGCTTTTCAAACGCACACCTCCCAAAGCCTTTGAAGTGGATCATGATTTTAAGTTTTTCAAGTCTCTTTCTTCTCCCAAGGTAGCCTTAAAACAAACAAGTGAACAAAAAAAAGATAAAGCACTTTGCTTTGGTTTTCCTGAATTTAGATCTCTCTGGTACATGAGTTTTCTATTACTGCTGTTACAAATTACTACCAGCTTGGTGGCTTAAACAATATAAATTAATTATCTTACAGTTCTATATGTCAGAAGTCTGACCTGGGTCTTATTGATCTAAAATTAAGGTGTTGCCAAAGCTATGTTCCGTTTCTGGAGTCTAGGGGAGAATTTCAATGCTTTAGTTTGGGGCCTTCATCTTCAAGCCAGACATGTTTCTTCTCCTCGACTACCTTCCTGTGGTCATATGTCTGTGACCCCATGGAAAAGTTTCTCTGCTTTTAAGGATGCCTGGGATTAGACTGGGCCCACTTGACTAATCCACCTCCAGGTTCCAGACCTAAATCATATCTGCAAACTCCCTTTTGTCATGTGAGGCAATGAAATCACAGGTTGCGGGTGGGGGAAAGAGAGTGGGGACATCTTTCGTTGCCATGATTCTGCCTCTCACAGACTGACATATTTTTCTTCAGTGCAGAATTAGGAGAGATATGGGCCCTGCTATTCATTCTATTTCCAATATTTGTAAAGAGGGGATATAGCATGAGTCTTTAGGCTAAGGTGTGGTATTAATTGAAATCGATTTCTTCACGATCTTCCATACAATAAACCAAACTTAAGCTTTCTAAACTTACCTTCTGTTGCCAACCTCCCATTGCCCCACCCTCTACAAATAAGGCTGGTTGTTATTTCCTGAGCACTCCTGACTTCTGTCCCAACAGTTCACCTGGGCTGTCCTTACCACATCGTGACCTTTCTGTCTGTCAAGCCCATCCCACCTTTGTAATTGACAAAGGATCAGCATTCAGAATAGAAAAAGAACTCCTAAAAATCAATAAGAAAAAAAAAGACAGTTCAATTTTTTAAAAATGGTCAAATACTCAAATAGATACATCATAGAAGGAAAAAAACATTTGCCAATAAGCACATGATGAGATGCTCATGAGTAAACATGGAAATTCCCATCAATAGTATTCTGAGATACCAATTTACACTCAGCAGATTGGCAAATATCAGAAAGTCTGACAATATCAAGGGTCAGTGTGCATTTGGCACAAACAGAACACTAATCTGCTGGAAGAAGTAGTGTAAATTGGTAGAACCACTTTGGAAAACAATATGGCGCTATCTAGCAAACCTGAAAATAGGTATAGCATCCTAGATATATATCTTTGGGAAATGCTTAAATCATGGTTAGAAGGCAGGTCCAAGAATGCTCAGAGCGGTACTGTTTGTAATAGAAAAACCTGAAAGCAGCCTAAATTCTCGTGAACATTATAATCAGAACACAATTATGGCATATCTATAAATTGGAATACTACAGAGGAGTGAACATAAATGGACCAAAACGTTCATGTATATGGATAATTGTTTGACACGTGCTATTGAATGGGAAAAGTTTTGCTTAATAATATACACATAATTATTTCATGTATATAAAAGTCAAGAAGAGGCCAAACTAAATAAAATATTGTTTGGGCAAAAATTCACGTAAAGTAAAACTATATAAAAGAAAGCAAGAGAATTAAAAGCACAATATTCAGGACAGTCATTACATTTTAAAGGCAGAGGAAAAGGACTCAGAACCTCAAAGCTGAGGGAATTGTTTCAATACATAAAACAGAGCAGTGGGTCCATGGATGTTCATTATGTCATTATTCTTTCACATCATCAACTTCATATTTGATAAATACTTAATATTTTCCAAATGAAGTGGTTTTCCTAAGCCCTGCCTTTCTGTCCACATGGAGCTCAGCCGCTCCCAGAAGGCAGGGCACTGGGGGGAAGGACAGCATGGCGAGTGGGAAGGACAGGTTTAATCTTAAATAAATTATTTTATCTCTTGACTCACCTGCAAACCCTTTGACGTGTTGTGGCAGGAGGATTAAATGTGAAGATGCATACAATTATGTCATAGATTCTCAATAAATGTTCATGCCACATTCTCCAGCAATCCTGATCTCTCCCTGCTTTGTGCTTTATACTGTATTCATTACCATATTCTCCAGTCAATCACAGTATTTGTGTACTTACCTTTACTTCCCACCCACCACTGAGTCCTAAGTTCTTTATGGCCAAAGACCTGTGCATAGCATGTAACTCAATAGGATTGAATAGGATTGAAATGGTACAACCTAAAAATAAAGATTGGTATGTACTTTTAATATTCTCTTCCAATTTGAAGATAAGAAATATTTTGAGTAATTTAACTGAAACATTAAATATATTTTGGGGAAATCTTTAGCAAAGTTTTAAACGTCTTGAAACAATTAAATGCCCCCAAAGATTGCCTACCCCTTAGCACACCTTTATCTTCTCAACTGATTGGTAAAATAATGAAACTTTAATGCTAAAGTTGAATTAAAGCACCCTTTTCTTGGGAATCTCTGATTCTACCAGAATCTTGTTTTGCCCATTTCTTTTCTTTCTCAATTGTATAAAATGTATTCATTCACTTCTTTTTGACATATTGTTATCAGTAATAATACAATGATAGTAAATCTTACTTTTGAGTAGTACCCCCCATCTGCGTTATTTCATTTGATCCTCATAAATAATCAACAGGGAAAGAACTTGCCCAAGATCATGCAGCTAATAAGCATCAGAGTCGGGATTTGAACCCTGATAGAATGTGCCCACTGCACTAACCATCCACTTCTGTGTTTTGCAGATTCGAAGACATGCCTTAGAAGGATTCCTGGCAGAAAACAGAGAGGCAGGAATTGTTTTCGGCTCTCTTCCTATATATAGGGTGAGTTGGAGGCTTCTGGGACTAGAGTAGTCAGAAAACAAGGAATCTGACGTCTCATTCCTGACCCTGGGCTACCCAACAAGGTTGAAGAAAACCACGTAACCAAGCAGATTGACGCTTCTATGAGCATGCTCTGTCCAATCCCAAAGAAGTCTCCAGTTCTAGGTGCCCGTGGCCTTGACCATTTCTCTCTGCCATTTCCCATTAAACAACACTGCAGGAAACTATTTCAGACCTTAACTTGGATCTTCATCACCTACAGGATAAAATCCAAATACCTTTAGCCTGGCATACAAACCCCTCATAATCTCTCCTCTGCCTGAACTGTATGATTTCATTTTCTACCACATTTTCCCATGTACCTTACACTCCAGCTGTGCCAAATTACTCACCATTCCTTATGCACCACCACTCTGCCCTCTTCTATGACTTTGCCTGTGTTGTCCATTGGCCCAGAATTCATCCTCTGCCCAGAATTTTCTCCTCCTTACTCACTCTCCTCCAGTCTCCACTAGGGATAACCTCTGTTAAATTAAAGAACTAATTGAACCAAGAATAATAAACTGAAGAAGAGATACTTCAGCTTAACCTTAACTTATTATTTAACAAAATGTTATTTCTCTTCCCTAAGAACATGTTCCCTGTAATAGGACCAAACACTTAAGCTACAGATGATGCTAAGGATGAAATATCAAGAAGTCATAGTGGGTATCTGGGAAGGAGGGGTATATTTTAAAGCAGTTGGACCTTTCATTCCCTATTCCCCCCCCCCATTTCACATTACAGGAGTAATCACCTTAAATATGTCTTACTAAACCTTTACTTATGACTTCTAGGTACCAAGCCCCACTAGCCTCAGATTTCTTCCACTCATTGGTTCAGAAGCACAAAGGGAATATTCAGATGTCATTCCAGGAAAAAAGAAGGGAGGTCACTTTCATGATAAGGTTAGTACTTAGAATTCCCTAGCATATCCCATTTATGTCTGGATTGTTAACTATTTCTTTGTTCCCAGAGACAAAGAAATTCGTTCAGTGAGATAGAAATCATGAATTTGCTGGACAGAAAGCAAAATTAAACAGGACCTCTGAACCTGACAAATAAAAATTTCCAGAGCTAATTTAAGACTTAGATTCACTGCCTAGTTTTGAAAGCTGGGCAATGTGACATAACACGTCTGAGGGTTGTATAAGCATCCTTCTTCTGAATGTTATGGTACCTACAGCACAGAGCCATTAAATCAGTAAGTCTCTGGCTCACCAGCCAGATCAAGAAGATTTTTGTGAATTAATAATAGGCATAGCTAACATATAATGACTTACAGTTTATGTAGTACTTTTAGAAATGATTCCCCTCATTTTCACAACTACAAAAAATTGTTATACCCATCTTAAAATTGGGAAAAGGTAGAGCCTAACCAGAGGGTAAGTCACTTGCCAAAGATCACATAAGAAATAAGTGATAAGCTGAGATCTACTTGTGACTCCAAATTTCATGCTCATCCTATTAAACCCTACAGCCTAGAAAATCCAAATGCTGTCACTCTTCTACTAGTTCTAGGAAGCTTGAATGGGCGTAACTTAACCTGTGGCCATTCATTTCATCTTTAAAATAAAATAGATGAAATGTGGGGCTCCTGGATGGCTCAGTTGGTTAGACACCCAACTCATATATCAGTTCAGATCTTGATCTCAGGGTTCATGAGTTCTAGCCCAGCACTGGACTCTATACTGATAGCACATTCTTCTCTCTGAGAGAATTCTCTCTCTCTGCCCTTCCCCTGTGCATGCCCTCTGTCTCTCAAAATAAATAAATAAACTTTAAAAAAATGGATCAAACCTTAAGAGGAAGGTCTAACATATGGTACTTCTTGTAAGCCTCATTCCATGATGTCATACCAAAAACAGAAAGGAGATGGTTCATCTTGTTTGTGCCTAATGGAATAAAAGATAAAAATCATAACTCCCACCACCAGAACAAAATGCTTTATTTAATTATATGGAAATCTTGACCATTATTTTGTTAGCTTATGTACTAAATGATTCCTGTTAATCATCAGCTCTACCAATTATTTGAATATGAATTTTTGGCAGTAGAAGAGCTTTCTATAACATAATATAACTTACTTTTAATTGTTTAAAGTAGTGGATGAAACACTGTGATATAAAATAATCCACGACTAATGGGTAACCAAAAGAGTGTTTGTTTAGGGATTTATAATTTATATATTTTATGCTTGCATTTCCATTCTTATTTGTTTTGCCTCATCTGATATTAAATATACTTTGCATTCCTTAAGTACAAACTAAGTGACAGAAAGAAGGTAGCTAAATATGTCTTAAATACCAGGAGGAAGACAAAAATGGAATAAAAATTAGTCATGGTTAATCTACATAATGAATAATCTACACTTAGGTAATCAGAAATTGATATGATTAATTTTATCAAAGATCATGAAATATGATAAATTATTTCTCCAAATGCAATAATATATCTATTGTTTTAATAGATTCCAAAATTTTATTTTCTCTTAATAAAGAGAATAAAGCTTTCTTTCACTCTGAGAAATCACTAACTACAGAAGAAGGGCAAAGGGAGTGGATATCTCCATTTGCTTACAGAAAAGGGACCACAAAACTATAATTAAAAATTCCCTTTCTGGTATAATGTACAAAAGAGTTAAGTGTGGTCAGGGGTTAAAATTTGTTTCCAAAATATATTAGGTCCTTTTCAGAAAATTGTTCACTTAGCAAGATGACAATAAAATCTGGAAACGGGTATAGATTAGAGAATCATGGGGCATCTGGGTGACTCAGTCCATCAAGCACCTGACTCTTGATTTCAGCTCAGGTCATGATCTCACAGTTTGTGGGTTCAAGCCCCTAATTGGGTTTTGTGCTAGAGGACAGCCTGCTTGGGATTCTCTCTTCCTCTCTACTCCTGCCCCACTTCTACTCTCTATCTCTCAAAATAAATAAACTTAAAATAAAAAGAGAGAGAGAATCACCATGTTGATTGTCTGAAATTTTAAAAAAACCATACTGCTTAAGTGGGGAAAATAGTGGAAGAAGTCAAATCAATAAATACCCACCAAATGCCTATTTTTATAAAAAAACACTTCCAAGAAGCTGGGTATAACATTACTTCAGAAAATTTAGTGTTCAAATTCCAGTTTTGTGAAACAAACATGTGCAGAATATCTTGAAATACCTATTATGCGCCCTGCACTGTTCTGGGCACTGAGAAGCCGTTCATAGTTCAAGGAGCTCACAGTATAGAGGAGAGAAAGGTCTCTGAGAAAATAGTCCAAAAACAGTTATCTTAATCTCTTTAACTGATTATTTTTAAATAGTAGAAATGCTGATTCCAATTATTAATGTCTTTAAGTAGCTTGTAAATCCCTTTAGAATTAAATGGCTTATAAAATATTAACCACAGCGCAGGATAGCATACATCAAAGCCAAAGTTTATACAGTGCACCTTTGAACAACTCAGGTTTGAATACAAGGGTCTGCTCCGTGCAGATTTTTTTCAATAATTACAGTATTTTCTCTCCCTGATGATGTTCTCAATAAATACACAGTCCAGCAAACTTTCTTTTCCTGATGATTTTCTTAATAATATTTTCTTTTTTTTTTTTTTAATGTTTTTATTTATTTCTAGGAGAGAGAGGGAGAGACAGCATGAGCAGGGGAGGGTCAGAGAGAGTGGGAGTCACAGACTGAAACAGGCTCCAGGCTCTGAGCTGGCAGTCAGCACAGAGCCCGACGCGGGGCCCGAACCCACGAACCGCGAGATCATGACCTGAGCGAAAGTCGGACGCTTAACCGACTAAGCCACCCAGGCGCCCCATAATATTTTCTTTTCTGTAGCTTCCTTTGTTATAAGAATATGGTACATGTGCTAATCCACTGTGTATGTCACTGGTGAGGCTTCCATTCCATAATAGGCTGTTAGTAGTTAAGTATGGGGGGGGGGTCAAAAGTTATACATGGATTTTTCTATTGCATGGTGGGGGCTCCTCCAGGGTCAACTGTAGCTCCTTTTCAGTTTAGCTGTGGGAAGAGAGTGGGAGAACAGGAACTTTGTGACATGTGATCCATTTACACAATTGTGGAAGCATATCCAGTAATAGAAAAATGCTTAAGTGAAAGATATAGAAGAATGCAAATATAAGCATAAAATAAATTAATTATAAAACCCCAAACAAACACTCTTTTGACTACCTGTTAGTTTTGGATTATTCATACATCTGTGTTTCATTCATTACTTAAAACAATGAAAAAATATATATGATAGCATACTTTATAACTTTTCAAAGAATAACAGAAAAACACTCGTAATTTTATTTCAGGTGAAAGGGAATATAAACCATAACTGAGTGCTACTGCTAGTGATAATAGCTAAAATTAGTGTTTATATTAGCATGCCAGGTACAAACCTTCAGGTCTTTCACTGAATCTTTATAACAATGAGGGAGTTAGGATTATTACCCCCATTTGATATTCAAGAACACTGAAGCACAAGAGGATAAGTAATTTATTTAAGATTCCAAACGAAGTAAATAGTAGAGCTGGAATCTAAACCCAGCAGGTCGACTTCAGAGCCCGGACACTTAAACACAATGCAATGTAACTGAAGGGGTCAGGAAGATGCTTGGTGTCTCCGGGTTGGATAACCAGATATGCAGATAATGAACATGAAGAACTCTCCCTTCCCATAACTCTCTGTGCCCTCGCCCTGCTTGATTTTTTCTTCACAGCTCCTATCATTACCTGACATCACATTTCATAAAAGTTCATTTATTTTAATAGTTCTCCCTGACTAGAACATAAGATCCATGAAGGCAGGCACTTTGGCTCATTCTCTATTGGAATTCCAGGGCTTAGAACAGACACCTATGTCACATACACACACACACACACACGCGCGCGCGCGCGCGCACACACACACACACACTATTTGCTGAATGAAAGAATGAAGGAAATCAAGAAGGAGGGGAGAGACCAGGATGAAGTTGGAGAAAATAATGATAGAAAATTAGAGAAATAACATTATTGCAGTTTGGGAAATTGCTCCAGTTAGTTAGCAGATTGATGTGGAGAACTAAGTTTCCCACCTTGTGTTTCAGACAGAAGTGGTCAGGTGACCTGTGAGTGTTCAAGCCTGAAAGATCTTTAGATGCTTGAATTTTGACCTTGGAGGTCTCTCAGTTTTTTTCTTTACTTAAAATGTTCTGTGTTCCTCTCCTTTCTTCCTTCTTTCTTTCTTCCCCATAATAGAGTATAAAATCAAATTTATGTGTACTGTACATATTAGCTGAATATTACTGACAAAATTAGATACTTCTTGTTCTGAATTTTTAAACCAAATAAATTTAGCTTTCTATATGTCTTCCAAAACTATCCAACTCAAAGCCTTTCATTTTTCATTTGTGGGATCATCACTTGATTTTATTTTCTTCTAAGTCAATGGACTCTGACGATATTCATATACAATCTCTCCATGCCTGACAACAACATAGCAAGCTTCTGTAATTGGCTTTGTTTTCATCAAACCCTTGCAGATTGGGCAGTTGAGTCCCAGAATACGTAACTGCCCAGTCAAGTAGTTAGTCTGCTTCTGCTCTTCCACCATACCCTTCTGGAACCCCACCTCCAATTTTGTTTTGTTTTGTTTTTGAGATAGGAGTGTGTGCATGCACACAAGCACTTGAGCAAGTGGGGGAGCGGCCAAAGGAGAAGGGGAGAGAGAGAGAATCCTAAGCAGGTCCACACCCAGTACAGAGCCCAACTTGGGGCTCAATCTCACCATGAGATCATGACCTGAACAGAAATCAAAAGTCTGACACTTAACCTACTGAACCACCCAGGCACCCCCACCTCCAGTTTTTAACACATCTTTACCCTGGAGGCATACAGGATAGTTAAGCAAATAACTACTCTCTTACTAGGAGGATTAAAATCTCTACATAAATTAGTGGTGCAACTTGACTCTAGAAAATTGTATTTATCATATAATGCCAGTTACTAACTGACATCCATTTATTTCACAGAGTCAACGGAAGAGAAGTCTGAAAAGAAATTTGGTCCCACAAATAAATCTGGCTTCTTCCTTCTTCCCAACCATCAACAACTGAAGAGAATAAAATCAGATGTGGCTGCAGTGGCCTGAGCTTCACATGAATGATACTCCAGTCTTTATTTCAGGATGAAAAGTCAAATATCCCAGACACTGTCACCCATATCTGTATCCTCAGGCCATCCATCAATGAAGAAGATTGCTCATGGAGCCTAGGTGGCCTCAGCTCTAAACAAGGAAGCAGCAAGCAGCCAGTTAGCCAATTTCTTTCATACATGGAAATCCACTTAATGAATAGGGAATGTTTCTTGCTTACTGTCAGCAGCATGACACATAAAGAAACAAAGAGTCAATAGCATAAGCAGATTGAAAATAATATGGTTATCAGTGATCAGCTTTTCACCTCTCCCCCCTTGTTCACCCTAATTCATAACCAGAATTATCAGAATTTGTGTCATCCTATGTGTTATATTAAAAAAATATTAAAAAGAAAAATGTGCCAGTCAAGTCTCTAGCTCTTTATTTCGTTCATTTAGGGAAATGTCCTATGGAAGAAAATGTTTAGAGTTTTTCAGATAAAGTTAAAAGCTATTTACATTTAGTCTAGAAATGACTCCAGATAAAAAGAATTATCTGGAGTTCTGAAGGAAAGAGGGAATCCACAGAAGCAGACAGCGAGGTCCAAGTGATCTTCAAACCACACAGGGGGAGGCAGTTCCCTTACTGGGAGAACATTTGGTAGAGGCTGTGTGGCCTCCCCACAGGTAAAGGTCCCAGTGGACCCTGGAGAACAGTCACATTCCCTGCTGTTGGACGTTAAGGGTGAAGCCTGGTGCTGGATGTGTGTTGTGATTTATCATAATCCCTGATTTTTTTCTTTCTGTATTCAAAAATAAGAAAAGGAAAGAAAAATTAAAAATTTGAATAAATGGGGCAGTGAACAGAATGAAATACTATTGAAATTACATCCCATTTCCCCGAGAAGTCAAACTATGAAGTACTTTATGGTTCATAAACTAAGCAGGCGGAGAGGCTTGTGCTGTTCCTCTAAAGCATGGTTGGCCCAGTTGGTTAGGGTTTAGTGTAACAGCGTCTTCTCCAGTCATTGGTGCTCCCAGGAGATGAGGAGAGAGAAAAGAGGGTAGAAGGTTTATGTGAGTGAATCATAGCAGAAAACTTTCCCAACCTGGGGAAATACACAGACATCAAAATCTAGGAGGAAGAGAGAACTCCTATTAGACTCAACCGAAGCCGACTGTCAACAAGGCATATCATAGTCAAATTCACAAAATATCCAGGCAAAGAAAGAATCATAAAAGCAGCAAGGGAAAAATGTCCTTAACTTACAAGGAAAGATACATAACAGCAGACCTATCCAAAGAAACTTGGCAGGCCAGAAAGGAGTGGTAGGATATATTCAATGTGCTGAATCAGAAAAGTATGCAGCCAAGAATTCTTTATCCAGCAAGGCTGTCATTTAATATAGAAGGAGAAATAAAAAGTTTCCCAGAAAAACAAAAACTAAAGGAGTTTGTGACCACTAAACCAGCCCTGCAAGATATTTTAAGAGGGAATCTCTGAGGGGAGAAGTCGGGGGTTGGGGGGGAAGATCAAAAGCAACAAAGACTAGAAAGGACCAGAGACCACCACCAGAAGCTCCAACTCTACAGGCAACACAATGGCAATAAATTCATATCTTTAAGTACTCACTCTAAATGTCAATGGACTAAACGCTCCAATCAAAAGAGATAGGGTAACAGAATGGATAAGAAAATAAGATCCTTCTATATGCTGTTACAAGAGACCCATTTGAGATCTAAATACACCTTCAGATTGAAAGTAAGGGGACCGAAAACTATCATGCTAATGATCACCAAAAGAGAGCCAGAGTAGCCATACTTATATCAGACAATCTAAATTTAAAAATAAAGAATGTAACAAGAGATGAAGAAGGACATTATATCACAATTAAGTGGTCTAGCCACCAAGAAGATCTAACAATTGTAAACATTTATGCTCCAAACATGAGAGCACCCAAATATATAAATCAATTAACCACAAACATACAGAAACTCATTGATAATAATACCATGATAGGAGAGGACTTCAACACCCCACTTACAGCAATGGACGGATCATCTAAATAGAAAATCAACAAGGAAACAATGGCTTTGAATGACACACTGGACTGGATGTACTTAACAGATATATTCAGAACATTTCATCCTAAAAAAGTAGAATACACATTCTTCTGAAGTGCACACGGAACATTCTCCAGAATAGATCACATACGGGGACACAAATCAGCCCTCAACAAGTACAAAAAGACAGAGATCAGATGATGCATAGTTTCAGACCACAACACTATGAAACTCGAAATCAACCACAAGAAAAAATTTGGAAAGACAAGAAATACTTGAAGACTGAAGAACATCCTGCCAAAGAATGAATGGGCTAACCAAGAAGTTAAAGAGGAAATTAAGAAGTACATGGAAGCCAATGAAAATGATGACACCACAGCCTGAAACCTCTGGGACACAGCAATAGCGGTCATAAGAGGGAAGTATATAGCAATGCACGCCTTCCTAAAGAAGGAAGAATGGTCTCAGATACACAACCTAACCTTACACCTTAAAGAGCTGGAAAAACAACAGCAAATAAAACCCAAAACCAGCAGAAGACAGGAAATAATAAATATTAGAGCAGAAATCAATACTATCAAAACAAAATAAAACACAACAACAACTACAACAAAAGCAGTAGAAGAGATCAATGAAACCAGGAGCTGGTTCTTTGAAAGAATTAAGAAAACTGATAACCACCCAGCCAGTTTGATTAAAAGGAAAAAGGAAAGGACCTAAATAAATATAATCAAGAGTGAAAGAGGAGAGATCACAACCAACACTGCAGAAATACAAACAAGAATAAGAGGATATTACGAGCAATTCTATGCCAATAAATTTGGTAATCTGGAAGAAATGGACAAATTCCTAGAAACATATAAACTACCAAAACTGAAACAGGTAGAAATAGAGAATTTGAACAGACCAATAATCAGTAAAGAATTGAATTAGTAAAAAAAAAAAAAAAAAAAAAAAAAAATCTTAAAAAACAAGAGTCCAGAGCTGGATGGCTTTCCAGGAGAGTTTTACCAAGCATTTAAAGAAGAGTTAACTCCTATTCGTTTGAAGCTGTTCNTACAAACAAGAATAAGAGGATATTACGAGCAATTCTATGCCAATAAATTTGGTAATCTGGAAGAAATGGACAAATTCCTAGAAACATATAAACTACAAAAAAAAAAAAAGAAAAAAAAAAAAAATTTGAAAAAAAAAAAAAAAAAAAAAAAAATGAATTAGTAAAAAAAAAAAAAAAAAAAAAAAAACCTCTTAAAAAACAAGAGTCCAGAGCTGGATGGCTTTCCAGGAGAGTTTTACCAAGCATTTAAAGAAGAGTTAACTCCTATTCGTTTGAAGCTGTTCCAAAAAATAGAAAGGGAAAGAAAACTTCCAAACTCATTCTATGAGACCAGCATTACCTTGATCCCAAAACCAGACAAAGACCCTAACAGAGAAATATAGACCAATTTCCCTGATGAACATGGATGGAAAACTCCTCCACAAGATATCAGCCAATCAGATCCATCAATACATTAAAATAATTATTCACCACACCCAAGTGATGCATGGTTAAAATGTTTAAAATATAGGTAATGATTTCTGCTTCAGGTAATGGTAGACAGGTAATTTGGACCAACCACTCCCACTGGAGACAACTAGAAAACATGGGGAAAATGTTTAAAAAGGATCTCAGTGAAGGCATCTGAATTAAAAGAAGATGGTAAAGCATGAACATGCCAGACTCTGGGGGAGGACTGAAGCTCAGATAGGTGAGTCCAGCTTTTGAAGTCAATTTTCCCATGCAAGCATGTGCTGATCCCAGAAGGGAAGAGTAGGAAGTTAAGAAGCTGAAGTGGTAACTAGGGCCAAGGGGACAGGGAATGGAATCCAGGCCTCATCAAGGGGTACACCCCTCTCACTTTGGGCGGAGGCTCCAAAGAACTACATCCTAGAGATGTGGGTGACATAAACATAGACTGATCTTTACTGGGAACTACAGTTCATCTTCCACTTATTTCAATTCCTGAAGTTCGGCTAAGGTAACCCTAAATTGGTAGAGCCTCCACAGAGCCTGCAGAAGCAAGGGTAAATACCGTGGAGAAAGAAGATATCATGTGAGGCCTTCAGTTATGTCTTCATGATTCCAAATACATGTCTGGCACTCTATAAAAAATGACCAGTTACCTGAGGAGACAATGAGAATAAGAGCTGACAGGGAAAAAGTAGGTAATAGAAATAAACATACTTTAAAATAACTGCTTGCTTGGTGCTCCTGGGTGGCTCAGTTGGTTAAGTGTCTGACTCTTGATTTCAGCTCAGGTCATGATCTCACAAGCAATTGTGGGATTAAGCCCTGCATCTGGCTCCACACTGAGTGTAAAACCTGCTTGGGATTCTCTCTCCCTCACTCTCTGCCCCTTCTCCACTTGCACTCTCCTGTCTCTCTCAAAAAAAAATTAAATGTTTTTTAAAAAAATAGAATAACTGCTTTGCTCAACTGGAGGTAAAACACAAGATTTGGAATTTCAGCAGAGAATGAGACTTTGCTGATAAGAGCCAAATAGAAATTCTAGAACCAAAAAACACAATTACCAAAATTTAAAACTCACTCAAAAAGGTCATAATGACAGAGTAGGTCAACTAAAGAGAACATTAGTGAGCTGAAAAATAGCTGGTAGGTATACAGGTATTTGTTAGATAATCCTTGCAAATTCTGAGTATTCAAAATTTTTCCACAATAAAATGAGGAAGGGAAAAGAAATCTAATGGGGAAATTAGTAAAACACTTAAGAGATAAATTAAGCCTCATCTACACGCAAAGGTATATTTATGTCTATGGTATTGAAGACTCAATTTTAGGGATGCCTGGGTGGCTCAGTCGGTTAGGCATCCGACTTTGCCTTAGGTCATGATCTCATGGTTCGTGGGCTCGAGCCACGTCGGGCTCTGTGCTGACAGCTCAGACACAGCCTGCTTCCAATTCTGTGTCTCCCTCTCTCTCTGACCCTCCCTTGCTCATGCTGTATCTCTCTCTCAGAAATAAATAAAACATTTAAAACAATAATAAAAAATGAAGACTCAGTTTTACAAAGCCATCAATATTCTGTAGGTTAATCATCTATTGTTGCATTAAAAAAAAAAAAAACCCGAGTGGCTTAAAACAATTATTTTATCTGCTCATCATTCTGTGGGGCAGTAATGTGAGCTGGGCCCAGCTGAGCACTTCTGTTCTCACCTGGTGTCAGTCACTGCAGTGAGAGGCCGGATGGTCTAAGATGGCGCCCTCACACATCTCATGTTGAAGCCAACTCTTTGCTAGACCTCTTGCTGTATGTGGTCTCTCATCCCCACTGATGCCAGGCCAGAATTCTTCATAGGACAG